CTGATCATCCTGAAGCTTTTTGCGTAGTTCATCCACCTGTGTTTGTGCTTGGTCTCTCTGGCGTTTCAGCTCTTCAATTTCCATTTCCATCTGGACATAATAAGGTAACAATATTCAGTATAAGGCTATCATAGTTGTTCCTAATTATCAGCTTTTTTATTTTAATTCACCTGTTGAATTTTCCAATCCTTTTCTTTAGATGGATCAGGAGTGCGTAACTCTGCCTCCAGCCTGGCTACTTCCTTTTGTAAATGTTTTACAAGCTGCCTGTCTGATACAACCTATGCACAGCATTTGAAAAGAAAAATGTCCAATTTTATTCTACTAAAGTAGAAAATTAAAAAGAAAAAACAATTATCAAGGTTACTATGAGCTGGTAGTTACCATGTTAACTTGAGCATTATTTGTTACTTCCTTAGCCCGGGTAGCAAACAAGAGAGTGTTTCGCGATTGCTCTACATGGCTCAGTGCTGGACTCAAAGTACATATGATAGCAGTGCGTGCATTCCCACCGAGGGAGTGTTGCAATATACGTGTGAGCTTTGAATCTCTGTAAGGTATATGACCACTTCTTTTTCCAACACTGCATATGACAATATGCAAACAACTGAGAAAAATGTGAAATATGAACTACTCAATTCTAGTGGCAGTACTAGGTGATATTTGCCATAATTATAACAACTCAATCAACTTTCTGTAACCAACATCGGTCCTGACCTGAGCTTCCTGATAACAGTCGTAAGAGTCATCAAGCTAAGGTTAATGTGGCAGCCCTCTTTGAGCCTAGTGCCATCTGCATGTGTCTGTGCAGCTCTCTCACTTCCAGCTAGATCAACAAAATTCTGCATTGGTATGCGTTAGTCAATAAAACTAGTCCATCTATTAAAGAGTAGATAAATGGGAAACTTCAATTACCAGGGTTGCAACGAAAGATTTCACACACTCTGCATCTTCACGAAGTGTACTTTGAATTGTCTGCAGTATAAACCAGAAGGAAGGAAAAAATATGTTTCCCTATTAGATATGAGAGGAAATGAAGGGAAAGAGGATCATCTTCTATGAGTTCCAGCAAGTAATTGAACTATTACTGACCAATCTAATTATCTGGTGAGACCGCGAGCTATTATCATTTAGAGCAGTTTCACCAACTTGCCTTTGAGCTGCCAAACAAAAGAGCATTAGTATATTAAAGATTTTTTGAGTGAGGAAAAAGCAATACCTCACCGTAAACCAAGAGAGGTTGCTACCTTCACAAATGGAGATCAAATGTCTCAAATGCTTGTCATCTTTTGCTGTTTCTTCCACTAATTTCTCAACCACAGTACCTTTCTATTCAGGATAATAAAACACAAAATTCCATTCAGGCAAATTAAGAAACTGAATTGCTAGATCATTACAAAAAAAACTTGAGAAGATTGTTTATGATGTAGGATATTAAAATACCCAAATTCAGGACAAAGAAGCAAACTGAATTATATGCTTTATAAATAGAAAATGGGGAAATAAATTCAGAGATTACCTCAGGATCATCTAGAAGCTTCAAACTGCGACCAGATTCTGAATTTAACAAGTCCCTTACATTCTCATTGTATATCTCTAGTCCAGATATTTTTATAGTGAAATCTCTTTCAGGGGTCTGCAATAATGTCAATCGAAAAGATTAGTCATAACTAACTACCTTTGAAATCCTATATAATCCTTTTATTGCATGGACTAGTATTAACGCTAAACAGAGAATTATCCTCATACCAACAGTAGTGTTTTGGGAAAACTTACGTTGATAATATGCTCATAGATATCATTGACAGCCTTCTCTGTTATTCCCCTCATTGTGTATGTCTTTCCACTGCTAGTTTGTCCATAAGCAAAAACTGTAGCTGCAATAAACAAGCATGCAGTCATTATGTTAATGACTAAGTCCCTCCCTAGCAGAGAAAAAAATCATAAGCAAGTTCAAGACAAAAAGATTCAAATATCTAAATCAGTACCATTAATGCCCGTTAGAGCAGATAATGCGACCTTCTTCACTCCTTCTTCATATACTGTCTCTGTTACACAAGCAGGACCAAAAACTTTATCTGCAGGGAGAAAAGCTATGTCAGCATACATTTAAAAAGACGTGACATTATTAAAATAAGAAAAGGATATGAGTAAGAAATGAGTAAGAAAAATAAAGCAAGTTGAACAATTTCATTTGATACCAAAAGTAAATGATGCTGGTTGAGCAGAACGTTCATGTGCTGCTAGTGGTTTATACACAATAGTATAATCATTGATGCAGTCCCATGCCACCTGATCTTTAGCCAATTGTTCCCTTCTGTTTAAAGGCCTGAGCCTTACTGTTACCACAATCTTCTCTTCCCTAGTCCTTGCCCCTCCTGGGGTTGATACTGGTGTCCTATCTATCTTTGAAGCTGGTGTTCCAGGTGTTTTCACAGTCATCTTCTAGAAAAATCATCAAGAAGAAAATGGACAAAAAGTTTAGTAAATAGAAAGAGTGAACACTTATGATTCCACTTGAGTTAATTCTTCAAGTAAAACCTGTTCTTGATTATGTTCAAACCTAAAAAGATCAAACGAAATTTCTTCCAATGTGACATGAATCGTGCTCAAATAAATACCAAACACAGTTTCAACTCTTGAAAAAAAGTTATCGAAAATAAAACAAAATTGACATATTGAAGAAATTCAAATAAATTTATGCGATAATGTATGTAGATTCGCTGAAGAATGGTAAAATGCGAAGGACTAGGGTCAGAAAAAGGAAAGAAAATAAAAAGAGGAACACAATTTCATTTTAATACACAATAAAAAGGAAAGAATTTTATTCGTGTTAATTCAACTTCGACGCCAATTTGAAGCATTAAACTGGGAAAACCATAAAATAGGAAAGCGAATAAATTAAAAAAAGCATACTAATAGTTCAAATCCTGAAATGGAAACTTCATCACAGATCAAAAAGTCGAAAACGAAATCCAGAAAATAAAAGGAAATGGAAGCAGAAACTCACATCAATGTCGATTCGATCACAAGTTGAGTAAATTCTTCAACTCAGATCCAGAAGAAGAAAACAGACCGTCGAAGCTGAAAATTAGGGTCTGTAGAGCAATCGCTGAGTGTGGGATGACGAAGATTCAAATGAATGAAAAGGCATTGGTGTGTGTGCTCGACGCGACCGTTTCATTTGAATTTGGGGGAGTCTAACGGCTAGTTTTTCATTTTTCATTTGTTTTCAGTTTATTTAATTAACTACAATTCTATGTTTTTAATTAATGATTAATAATTTAATTATGCTTTAGTCCAACGTTTTCATTCGCCAGATAATCAGACAGACACTGATGCAGTGGGCCCGGGTCTTAAATTCTAACGTTTTGTGTTTTGTCTTTTTCTGACATTCATTTTTTTCCCTCTCACTTTTATAGATTTTAAACTCTTATTTCCTCTCACTTTTGTTGGATTGTTGTGATTTTTGCCTTTTAACATTTCATTAATTTTGGAAAATTATCGTTGAAATTACAATTTTTTATAATTGTTTACGTAAATATAATAATATTTGTTGGGATATATAGGAACTATTAAGAGAGTATCTTAACTTAATTTCAATTTGCACTAGTTGACACACTTGTAGAAGGAAACATTGCAATCCCAAAAAATAATATTTTTTATTTTTTATCACATCATTTATTTTTTTAATTTTTTTCTCTCTCTATTTTTCTTTTTATCTTTATCTTTCTACACTAATTTCACATCCCATTTTAGAGACATGAACTTCCTATTTTGAAAAAAAAGTTTAAGAGTAATATGAATTTTAATACAACAAAAATAAAATAAAATAAAAGCATAGGTAGAGTAACTTGTGAGCTTAATTTCATAATTTATTTTTACGTACGTTTTTTCTTACATTCAATTTTTTAATTTTTTTTTATCTCTTCATTCCTTTTTATCAGTTATCACATCATCTCTCTCTTATTTCCTATCTTCATTTTCCTTCCACCCATTTCATATCTACCAAGCGAGTGATATTTTTTTCAAAACAAAAATACTTAGTCAATCAATTATATTTGGATGCACATTTGAGACCTTTGAAAATATATATTTGAAGTCATAAATGTGGATTTATTTGTATTATATATTTGAATGTTTTGCTGTTGAATATTTTTACTATTAATAACGTATTTGATTTTGGGTCAAATATACTCAAATGTAGATTTATTTTAATGCCATTTTTATATCAAAATGTGATTGTATTATTTTTAAAAACATACTGAGAACATATTTTATCAAAAAAATATTAAAAATGCAACTTTTACATTTAGTAAGAATTACATGCAAAGTGTTTTATTTAATGAGATCAGGTTTATAACACAATAAATTATCCATCCAATACAATGAAATTAAAATTACCCTACACCAAAAAATTTCAAACTTTTCTGTCAAAAATGTTCCAATGTACCATGTCATCTTACCAAACAACTTTGGGGCAAGTTCTGCCATAAAATTGTAGCGAAAAATGAAAGACAAAATTCTTGACAATGAATAACGTAGACAAAAAATTCATCTGAAGAACAATATTATCGTCACATTGTAGGCACAATTGATTGTTTTATATCCATCATTTTTATTCTCTTCCCATATAAAATGAAATTATATGTTTATGGTTTACATTAGGAGAAAACACATGTTCTTCGTCGTACGACTCACTATATATACTTGGGAAGAAACGAACGATTGTTTCGATTAGAAAGAATGAAATTTCACCCAAGAAGTCCGCTTTCAAGAATGCAGATAAGAGCCCGTGGAACAAGGTATATTAGAGCCAAAAATATAACTAAATTAACAATTTAATAATACATAATAAAATCTTACTTGCAGAATTTAATATAATACAATATGTTGATATTATTATATATTACAATTTTTAATAAAAAAATATTTATTGAATTTTTTTTATCATATGTCATTTTGCAGAAGTTTAGAAAGTCGTTAAACTAATTGATAATGTATTAATTTATAATTTCGATTACTCTAATAAGGTGTCACAATTGTACCTTATTATTATACAGGAAAATCTACACATTTCACCCGTTCTTTTCTAAATCACAACATGAACAGCATTAAATATTTAAGTCTATAAAACTAAGCATAATTTAGCAGAAAAGTCTCGAAAGATCTAGCTTAATCTCACATACATTCCCTGTGAACCTGTTATACTGTATATTAGTTTTTTCTCCCTTTCAATTGTGTCCTTCCACTTGTGTGACAATTTTTCTCCATACAAAGCAGCTGTTTCTTTTTTTTCTTTTTTTTTCTCATTTTATATTCACTTTAGCAATCTCTATTTCATTCTTCTCTTGAGATAAGACCACCTTATGTGCTGCTTACGCCATATTAGTAGTTCCAACTCCATCAGTCTCTATAGATGGATGGACTACACCAAGTTTGCATGGAGCAATGTGAACATAGAAATTTGAGGCTAATAGCTTTAAGATTTAGCCATGAGAATGTAATGACATGTCAACTGATTTGGTTCACCTGTGGTATGTGCCATGTGATATGAAGAACTGATAATCAGGGTGATTGACCTGAAGCAACCTTAACCAATTATCTGCAGCCTGCAATAAGGAATTTGCAAGTTGACTCTCACTAACTGCATTTTGCATCCAAACAGATCCCTTTAGTTTATAGGAAGCCATTGCAAAAGTTGGTAAGGAAATCTTTGGTACACCATCCATGTCATTTGGAGAAACCAAAATAGGAGCCTGGGTACCTCCATTTCCTGCAAAATGTAATCAAAAGTAAAAAATAAAATAAAATAATGAACATTGCATGTAAACTGTAAAACATTACTTTACAATTTTCATATTTGATGATGAAAAAGAAAAAAGGAATGCTCCTTTTGTCAAATTTTATGTTCTTGAGACATGGGTCTAGTTTGGGTAATCTTATGTATAAGTACTCGTAGGATAAGAAAATAGGGAGTAAAGCAATTAAAATCCTTTTCACAAGTTAAAATCAACTTATGCATTTCATGTTTTGAAGAAGTTGATTGAAAAAAGAAAAAGTAAAAAAACATAAGTCACTTTTAACTTATAGAAGTTTGATTCATTTTAATTCTTTATTTTTGTCTTTAAAAAGTAATTATTGAAAAGATAATCCAAACTGGACCATAGTAAAAGTGAAAAGAGGAAATGAGTTTAAAATGCACGAGTTTTTACATCTAATAATAATGAGCCCAATGAGTCATGGATCTTGACATTAAAATGCATGAGTACATCTAACAATAATGAGCACATTTGATTGCTGAATCTTGATATGCAAGAAATACAATGCCACTGCAGGTCAAACATAGGGTTGAAGCTCTGCGATTACCTGTCAAGGGTGTATGGAGAGAATGGTATGTAAGAAAACAGGCATCTAAATCTTTTAATGTTAGACCAGTGGGTATTCGATATATAGGATACCTGAAAGATGCCACTAAAAAATGTTAGTTGACACAAAATACAGCACTAGAGTGATAGATCAAGATATTATACCATGCCACAGACATCCAACTAGCTGGCAATAAATCACAACTTCTCAATGACTTGAGGCTTGGACAGTGGCGTGCGAGATCAAGTATCTGTTCAAATATAATAATATAAGATGGATGCAACATAATTGCAAATAAGGGATGCATTAATTAAGACCAGTACTGACTTTGTCAGATAATGGTTCACGGCTATAAGGAGGATCTTGATCAAAGTATTCAAAAAGAAGATCTTGAGGATTCCCAGCTTCACTATCATCGCTGGAAAATTCCTCTTGCATTGCATTTTGTTTATCATGTACAGATAACCTGCTCATATGTAAAGAAGCATCGCCTGTCCAATTTTGACTATTTCTTTGGGCTAGAAAAAGCTCAGTCCTTCTTCCAAATTCACTATCACTGCTTCCATCACTACTTGAATCTCTGTAGTAATCACTATCACTGTCTTCACCATTAAACCTAATGACAAAAGAAAATGAGATATTGTTACAAACTAAAGCACAATAGCACATTCTTCAGCAAAACTTATAATTGCATAGAAGCAGGCACAATGGATGATTAACATAGTATGAAAATTATAAATGTAAATTCACAAATACAGAAACACAATGGCAAAATACAGGAATCAGTAAGCAGATAGAAAGAAGGAAAATAAAGAAAGAATACAAGATTTAAAAAATTTGCATTAATTGAGATAAAAAATTGTCACAATATAGCAAAAAGTCAAATCAATTGTTAGCATAAAATGACCAAATTCAATGAACAAACTAGATTTTAATTTTAGTGTTTAAGGGTGAAAATGGATGGACAAAGAGGAAGAAATTGACAAGATGTTGTACAAAACAAACACTTAGATACATTGTTTATGTGTGAACTTCTCGTTCTATTAAACTTCTGTTTTCACCATGCCGAATATAAGACGAGAATTCTCAATTCCCTCAAATGCTGCCTGTCAGTAAGAACCTCACACCCAACAGCCATTTAATTCACACTTCTAGCTCAGAAAAAGTCTTTTTCCAAGGATGAAAAGACAACGGAAAATGAAACAGACAAATTCCAAGAAACTGCACATATAAAAAGATGTAGTGGTTAACTGGTAACCGTGAAAAGGTTTGTGATCTCTTACAATGCGAGTATAACCAAATTTCCATGGGAAACAAAAATTAGAATTAAACCCATCTAACTCACTATAATAAACCATTTTCAATTCTTTCACTGTCTATATCTATGACAAGCATACATTTTAAGAAAAGTAAAAACCATAAATGCATTTATCTTTCATGATTTCACCTCATAACCAGCCTCACACCACCACCAATATAAACCAGCACTTCATATAATCAATTTAACCATAATACAAAACAAATAAATTACACAAAGACAATAACCAAGTTTACAAATTCTTAAGCACATATATTAAAGCATGGCTCTATATATGAAATGCCAATACCTTGGCTTAGCATTAAACTTCTTGGCTGATTGACCATATAGTTGAATAGCTGACAAATAAGGAACATAATATTGGACAACAGATTGTCTTTGATCAAGTAACAAGGGGACTCCTACTCCATATGCACTCCACTCCTTAAACGATTCCCAGAGATCATTAAGAGCAAAGTAAGATTGATACTCCACATCACAGGTCTTCCAATTCAGACCTCTCATTGTTGTCTACGTCACAACATAATACGAACAAGTTCAAAGTAAGTAAGTAGCATTCAAAAAGTAAGTGAAATTCACCAATCTTATATCCTAAGCTAGTAAGCTATTTCCTTAAGATTTAACATTACACCAACAGTTACACACTAAAAAACAAAACAAAAACAGAAGTGGAGGTTTTTGTGCCCTCTAAATCCAACAAATCAAAAAATCAACACTCAAAAGATAACTGATTTGCATAATTACAGAAATAGAAGATAGATCAACCTTAGAGAAATACTGAGCTGGAACTAAAGGTGTTGTGGACTCGAGGAACCTATCAATGTTACTAGCAGGCTCAAGACAAGAAGAAGGTTTGTTCAAAGAGAATGAAGAAGATTCATTTGAATTCCCATTCTCAGATGCAACAAGCTGGCTCTTTGAAACAGAATCGGCACTCTCAGTTTCACCAATCTTATCTCTATGAACTTGTTTTCGCTGATTCTGGTTCTTCCTTGCCTTCACCGGAATGTAAAACCGATCTTCACCACGAACACCACCAAATTGCAGGGAAGTCCCCAGCATTTTCTAATCAACAAATTAACTTCCCCCCGTTTAGTTAACGAGAAAACGAAGGAAAATATTACAAGTCTGAGAAAATATAAAAGCAAAAACAAAAAAGTGACAATACCCAATTTAAAAAATCCTCTCTTTCTTCGTTTTTCCAATGAATAACAAACAAAACAAAGAAAAATCAGAACTGGGTCAAGTCGTTTGAGCCTCAAAACACACAAGAAAAATTGTTCTGAGAAAACAGAGGTTAAACAAGGAGACACGGAAACACTACGATTTTCTCGAGGTTTCTCAGCAATCAAAAGAAAATTTCGAATTAGAAGACGATCGCAGGGAGGCGATGATGAGAATCTAAAGAGAAAAGAAACGCAGAAGAGGATTAAGAAAGTTAGCGTGAAGCAAAAGGGGATCAAAGAACACCGAGAAGAAGAGAATGTGTGAAAGGAAAGAGAAGAAGGGTTCGTAGATTGATTGGGTGAGAGAAAGTGAATGAATTTGAAGGAATATATGCGTGAAGTAATGAATAGAGAGAAAGAAAAGCTTCTTCTTCAGCCACAGTGCGTTTACAGAAACAGAGGAAAATGAATGCCCAGAAATTTTGGTGCCACTTGCGGGGAGAATATCATTTTTCTATTTTGCCTTGTCTTTGGTGGGGTTAGTAACACGATTATCGTGGGAAATTTTTAATAATAAAAATACTTTGGATAAGTTTTTTGAATTGGTTCAAACATAGATACTTATTCTTGAATGATGTAGCTATTAGCATATTGTTTGTCTCATGCTTTTTTAATTATTTATTTTTTTTATTTGTTTATCTCTTTAGTATGAAATTTTTATTATTGCCATTATAGTTTATTATTTATTTTAATTTTTATTATTGCCATTATAATTTCGTCATCCCCTCATATTTTTAAATTATGAGAAACACTGTAATATATATTTTTAATACATTTAATTATTATTTAAAATTTATTAAAATTATAAAAATTATGTATTTCAGTCTTTTTATTTTTAAATTAATATTTTTTTATTATATTTTTTTATTTTTAATAAATTTTAATTAATAATTAAGATTATGTTAAAGAATATGTTATTAGCTTTGCCTATGGATGTTTAAAGGATTAATCTTCAAACTCAATGAATAACAGATCAACGGGGATTTAATGCAGCGATAAATAAACGATATTTGCATTTGATTATCAATGTTTAAATATAATGACCTTTTTTTATTTAATCTTATGATTTTGAAATTAAAATTGACAATTAAGGAATTAACGAAATTTATATTTTGATCACAAATGGAATAGTGAATAATTTGAATAAGGAAAAGATTAATCATAAGCCTTTTCCTTTTAAAGAAAGAGATAATAAAAAAGGAATTTTAATTAATAATTATTTTTATAAATAAAATATTATGATTTATACTCTTCCAAATATAATGAAGGGAGAAAGAAAAGTAAATTCTTAAAATAATTTAATCAATATAATTCAAATATTATAAGAACTTTTTTATACTATGTCTGAAACAAGTTCATTATTGCAATTGAATCACTAATGTTACTGCAATTGGAATTTATTTTTCAAATGCCATTAAAGTTGAATCGTAAATTCACAAGCTCGGCTTAAACATTTAAGATGATTAACCAAATATTTACATTTAACTAAGTTAAATATATATATTGATAAAAAAAATTATAATTTTTTTTAATTATCTTTTAATCCATCGTTGAATTGAATATAAATAAATAAAACAGAAATATGTTTTAGTTTTATATAACATTTTTATCACATATAAATATTATATTTTTTTAATATATAATATTTATATGTCTTTTATTTAAATTTATACTGATATAAAAAGATTTTTTTCATTAAATATATATTTTCATCATTATTCTTTTTTAAAATTCAGATTTAAAAATTTTTATCAGATAATTATATGAGTGAAATAAAACAATTTCTATTGAATAAAATTTATATATTCTATATATATACTATATTACTTATAATTAATAAATAATATGAAATGTTAAAATTGCAGTTAAAAATATTGAGTCTCATTTTTTATGTACAAAAATTAAGTGAAAAAAATTCTATTATATTTTTTGAGTAGAAAATGTCATTTACCTCCAAAGTTGGTTGATTAGTCATTATGGCTTAAAGAGGTATAAAAGAAAATTTATTATTATTTTTTTAGTTTTTACTATTATTTGTATGAATTATCATACATTTATTAACATAAATAAAGGAGTTTAATAAAAATAAATAAATAGATAAGTAAAAATACCAAAATACACAAAAGATTAATAATATAAATTTTTTAAATATCTAAAAGAACATTTATATATAATAAAATAAGACATAAAAAAATATTTTTTTAAGTTTTTTTTTGTTTATGTGATATAACATAAATATAGTAATTTTACTTTTTTTAAGAAATGACTGGACTGATGCGTTGAATTGCTAATTTGTTATACAAATTATAAAATTAAAGAATAAAAATATTATTTTTAACATCTTTTAAAAGTTTTTTAAGATAAATTATATATTTAATTTTTATATAAGATTACTTTTTTTGTAATTTAGTCTTAATAGAAAAAAATTATAAATTAAATCTAATACAAATATTTAGTTTAAATTTTATAACATGATAGATTTAAATTATTTTTTTATAAAAATATATTTTATAATTTATTATTTGTATATCTTTCATATTTTATTTTCATGTATTCACTTATAAGAATTGAATGACGAAATTATAATTTAATTTAAAGATAGAAGATGCAAATACTAATTTTTTCTAAAAAATAATAAAGATTCTGAGAATATTTAATTTAATGGAGGGACGGTCCTAAAAAATATTAGCATGGGTTTTGGTATGGTTAGGAAACGGCAAAGCAGTTGACACGTGCAAAGTTTGAGTAGGTGGGACACGTGCAGCATGCAAATTAAGTAGAGCCGCTAACTACTAACTATGCCATCTCTTCATGCCTGCCACTGAGTTGTTCACTTCTGCTTTTTTTTGAAGCAACGTGCCAATTACTGCATAATGCCACTTGTTACTAACTCATTGTGCAATCTCTGCTTTCTCTTTTATTTATTTATTTATTTTTATAATAAATGTGTTTAAATGTATCAAACACAAAGATAAGCAAATTGTGTAGTCAAATTTAAAGAACTGGGTATTGATTTTACTTTAAATAAATACATTTGGTGAGACCATTCTTTGGAGTGTTATAGTTAAACTGAATGCAATTAGTTTAAAACAATGGTATAGTAACAAAAATAAATAAAATAAAGACCTCTTAGAAAGAGTGAATTTCAAAAAATTTAGTATATTACAAATATAAGTTAAAAATAAAAATTAATTTTTAATATATCACAATGTAAGTTTTAGTAAAACAATAATATTATTTATTAATTATACAATGATACATGAGCTATGAATTATGATTTTACTGGATAAAGGTCAACACGATCCTATTGGTAGGAAAAAGAAACTGAGTACCTATTCAGTATAATAGGTCGGATACCCTTTGTCAGAATTAAAAGGTAATTAACCTAATTAAGGATAATAATTAAAATATTATTTAAATCAAGAAAAGGGCCAAAAGTCAAAGCTGACTCAGTAGGCTCATTAGCCCATTGCAATACCTGTAAAAGGAAAATAAGAAATGCAGGTAAATGGTTGACTTTTCATTATTAAATATCATTTATTGTTCAGAATTGAATCTTAACTTCAGCATCAGAATATCTTTTGCAGTTATCCTCCCACGTCAGCCGCACTTAAAGAAACGTTACCACATTAAAGCATATACTTACATACTCGTGTTATCTTGATAGTAACAATTATTATTATATATTTGAGGTTAAACATCAATTATATAAGCCATAGATAAGACGGAAAAATATGCATGCAATGTCTCAACGGAGATTGGAGAGGGAAGATAATGTGTGGCAGTGAAGAATTTAAAGGGTGGGCCCAAGCTTGTGTCAATGTAGGTTTCTCACAAAAATTGAAGAAAGGACAATTATGAAAGGGGTGAAGTTATTATCAAATGGATGGGACCCTTAATGGTTTGGGGTTGTTAGACTTTACTTTGTCATTGTCTTGCTAAAGCTACCATCACAGCATTTATGACCATATTTATGGGTTCCACACACAGCATATTCTTATGCCATTCTGAAGAAATATTCCACCTCATGGGAACTCACTCAATGATCACAATCTTCCCAATAATTAATTAATTAATATACACATTAACATTAAAAACAAATGCTACTTAGTAACTGTTACTATTAAACCATTTACATAACTCTTCATGATTATTAATTTAACTAAGTGTTATCTCCCAACAATATGTCTCCTACATCTTTCACGTAGCATAAGCTATCTGGGCATGAGAATTGTGAGAATGAGAATTCTGTTTGAAATATAAATTTAAATAATATATTTTCAGGAATCTAATCAGTATAACGCATATATTCAATTTTCGTACAAAAATATATAGTGATTATAAATTTTTATTGACTATTTAAAAAGTTTAGTTCTTATCATTTCTTTTTTTATTTTTTGGGTCTGAAATTCTTATCAATTTTAAGTTTTTATTTTTGGGATGGGGATTAAGTTATTTTAAATCACTTTTTATTTGTCAAAATTATTTTAAGTCACTTGAGGAGATCCAACTATGTTCAAGGCCCAGTAAGTTTTTTTTAACTTTAATCTTGCAGCCCATCACAACAGGTCCTAAACGAGGTGAAGGTTTCCCTGCCGTTAATAAAAAAATATTTGATCAAAAAAATAAAATATCAAAGATGCTATATAAGCAGAATTTAATTTAAATGGATTATCAGTGTAAAGATTTTTTTTATACAATCACCTATTTATGGATTATTATATTATCAAAAATGTTAAATTTATAATAATTAATATAAATATTATATCCACGATGTATTTTAATTAGTTGATAAAATAAAAATCTTTACAATAACAATGAATCAAAATTAAACTCATAATAATGTTTTCCTTTTGTTTTTTTAATGTTAAATTACAGTTGGAACTTTGGTTATGCTTCATTAACCGAACATCTACATGTATGATTGTAGACGGTATGTTTGCAAGTGCCCAAAATCTGCAACTTTTCAACTGAGTTTTTCGTCCACAAGAAAGAAAAAGAAACTGTTGTTACACATTATATGGTCTAAACTTCACAAAATGGTAAATAGTCTAGATGTTAATACAGAATACTTTTTGCTCACTTAAAACTTTAATTAGAGATTAAAAATAAGAATTCAAGATTTTGATTGATACCCTCCAAAATGTGAAACATTAACTCGTGTTATCTGATTAAATCCCCTTGTTTCATGCTTTATGCCTTCCAAGGTCTTTAACACTTGTTTCATAGATGGCCTAAGATTCTTTGGACACTGCAAACATCGAAATAGCTAACTCAGCCACTGCAGTTATTGTTTTCATTATTTTATTGTTTGAATCAAAACACATTTTCTGACCCACCAGCTCTTCCAATGCTTTGTTCAAGATTTTGTTCATTGCGAAGGTAGCAAGGGTAACATACTGTGAGCCCTCTAAAAAAGCTGGTGTTTGGATGATAGAAGCTCAAACAAAACCACACCAAAACTATAAACATCACTTTTGTCACTAACCATGTTTGATGCAATGTATTCTTGATCCATATAAACATAAGTCCCTGGTGGAAAAGTTGAAGCATGGGTAGGATAAGATGGAAGAAACCGTGAGAACCCAAAATCTGAAATTCTAGAACTAAAGTTATTATCTAATGGAATATTACTAGGCTTTCCATCACGGTGGATAATACCTGAATCATGAAGATATGCTAATGCACTTGCAATTTCAATGGCAATATTCAATATAGTTGACCAAGATGAATGGCTAGAGTGTCATTGAAGATGTATTGATATACCAAGAGTTCTTCTTTGAGATTAGAACTGTAACCACGCATTGAGATAAGATGTAGATGGCTTAAGAGATTCAATACCTCAATTTCTTTTTTGAAATGATGAATTATTGTGTCATTTTCATGGAAACATTTGACTTCAACCTCACGTCTATCTTGAAGTTTTCTTATGCCAGTAAAAAAAAAACTAAATACATTTATATCATTTGGAAGAAAAGAAAAGCATGTATATATTTTACACACCTCGAAATATTTCTTAGTGAATATCAATTCAAGGAGGATTACAATTTGTTAATTTACAAGGGATATATGTACACGGGAAATAAATCAAGTATTATTTTATTTCTAGACATAAATTTTAAATAAAAACTAATGTTCGATTTAAATAATGAATATCTATATATTGATGTCCAATTTCCTTAGAACCAACTTGATTTGCACTGTACTTCTATAAAATCAATGCGTATTAATTTTGTTAAGACAACATACATACTTAATTTAAAAGGGGTTTTCTTAAACCTTACCATAATAAACAATGTCAAAGGCTCCCTAGCGGAAGATTGAGATGACGTGCATTGGGAAGCTGGTTGCCATCCCTCTGCTTTCTTTTGTAACTTTTACTAATGTTATTTATTTTTCTTTATTTCCCAGACAAAGATAAAGATAACACTAGTAATAATCATAATCATACAAACCCAGCAATTAACCAAAATTTAAAATCATACTACCACCTATCTTTAAGCAGATCAATATTAATTTCAACCATGAATAGATCTAAAGTTTCATATAAAAAATAAAATGCATTTGTAATTCATTTAAACAAAACAAAATTTAAAATACAAGTTGTATAAGATAAAGAAAGGTTATTTGTACAGCAAGAAATTTTATATTTCACCCTCAGATTTGATAATGCAATAAAAAAATCACCAAATGAATTATGTGATACCTTCTTTCTAATATGGCTTGGTGGTAGCATTGAATTAAGGCTAGGTTATCTGGTTGAATCCCCAACACCCTTTCCTTATGCCTTCCAGGGTCTCTAGCACCTGTTTCATGGATGGTCTAAGATCCTTGGGACACTGCACACACTGAAATGCTAACTCTGCCACTGCTGTTACCATATCCATAATGCTTTTATCAGAATCAAAACAAAGACTTGGATCCACTAGCTCATTTAATTCCTTGTTTAAGATTTTTCTCATGGAAAATTGTGCAAGAGTAACATAATCTGTGCCTTCCATTAAACTTGGGGGTCTAGATGATATGATTTGAAACAAGACTACTCCAAAGCTATAGACATCACTTTTGTCACTGACCCTCCCAGAATAATAGTAATCAGGATCTATGTAAGCAATAGTTCCTACTGGAATAGTTGAAACATGAGTAACATAATCTGGAAGAGACCTTGAAAGTCCAAAATCTGCAACCTTAGCAGTAAAATTTTCATCCAAAAGAATATTGCTTCCTTTTATGTCACGGTGGATGATACCTGATTCATGAAGATATACCAAAGCAGTTGCAGTTTCAATGGCAATATTCAATCTAGTATGCCATGGTAGCTTAGGACTGGGAGATTCATGAAGATACTTAGAAAGAGTGCCATTGGAGATGTACTCATACACTAGCATATGTTTGTTGCTATGGCGAGAACTGCAGCCATAAAGTAAAACCAAATTTTGATGGTGCAAAAGACTTAAGATCTCGATTTCTTTCATGAATTGCTTAATAGTTTTGTCTGTCTCCTGATGGAAGCATTTTATTGCAACCTCTCGCCCATCTTTAAGTTTTCCTAACACAGTTGCATGCCATTAGAACAAATTCATACACATTTTTCTCACAGGGGATACTTAAAATATGTGGTCTAATTAGCATCTTACCATAGTAGACAATGCCATACCCTCCCTTTCCAAGGCAAGTGTCAAAATGGTTAGTAGCTTCTTCAAGTTCAGCATGGTGGAATGTTTTGAAAGCTAAGGTGTAAGGTATATAATAAGACATTTAGATTCAATCTCATACCAACATGCATAGAACGTAGAGAGTAATGTTTTGAAAACGTAGATTCAATCTCATACCTTTAATTGAGTTTATTTCATATCTCCCTTGTTTTATGCCATTGAGAATCTGTAGCACTTGTTCCATGTTTGGCCTTAATTCTTGTGGACATTGTAAGCACCAATATGCAAGCTCAGCCGTAGCAATCATCATCTGCTTGATCTTCGGGTCTGTTTGGAAGCCAAGTCTTGTATCCAATAGCTCCACCAAAGCTTGGCTTTCAATTTCTCTTCTTAAGATAGTAGCAAGATTATTCTCTTCACTCCAAGCAAAATATGTTGCCAGCTTTGATGATAGAAGCTCACACAACAACACTCCAAAGCTATAAACATCATTTTTGACACTAAGCCAACCTTTTGTCACTTGTTCTGGATCTACATAACCAAAAGATCCAATTCTATCACTTGTAACATGGATGGCATCGACAGGAACTCCATCTGGGAGTTTCTGAGATAAGTGAAGGTTAGAAATTTTAGCACAAAAGTTCACATCTAGGAGAATATTGCTGGACTTTAAATTGCGGTGGATGATGCCATAATAGTGAAGATAGTCCAATGCATTTGCAGTATCAATGGCGATATTCAATCGTGTAATCCAAGGCATTTCACTTTGAAGATGAGTAGCAAGATTGCCATTGGATAGGTATTCATATACTAGTATGGATTCTTTGTAATGAGAAGCACATCCAAAAATTGACACAATATTTTTGTGAGGCAAGTAACGTAGGATAATAGTTTCATTGATGAACCGTTGCAATAGGTGGCACTTGTCTTCGTCAAAGCTTTGGACTGTAATCTCACACCCATCCTCAAGTTTGCCTTGAAGGTAAGTAATCAGTAAGAATATTTCTATTTATATTGTATGTATAAAAAAAACTTTGGTTTAGGGTGCGTTTGGATATACAACTTATTTAAAAAAGTTCTTTTTAAACGAGGATTTATGCCATAAATTTAAAGATGAAATTTATTGAAAATAACTTATTTTGATAAAATATATCAAAAAAACTTATTAAAATAAGTTGAAAACAACTTTTGAGATAAGCTACTCATAAACTTTTCCAAACAGGCTCATTTCTTACCATAATATTCTGTGGCAAAACTTCTCTTTCCAAGACAATGAGATTGATGAAAATTGTTTGTGGCTTTTGCAAGTTTCTTATAGGGGAAGATTTGCCACTTCAACTTACTGTGCTTTGGAAATGTCTCAAAAGAACTTCCAGTGAAGCAGCACTCAAAGTGATCACACTTGAATTTCATAATGTCATTATTGAAAGTTGCAGGTCCTTTGGTATGCTAAGTGAGGAAAAGGCATATCAGAATTGCAAATTTCAAAGTATATTCAATTCTATGAAATATGATTGGTGTTCAAAGCAGATAAGAGAAAACTTAGTTCGAATTAGATGAAAAAGTATGATTTATACATAGAATATGTTTTAAGTAATTTTAAATATTTTTTTTATCCCTTATTAATTTCTGTTTTGATAATAGTCCTTGATGTTTAAAATTACTAAATTTTAGTCTTTGTCATCATCATATTTTTGTTAAGTCATGATATGGCATGTGATATACTCATACGTCAAATTGAGGAATCATGACCAAACATAAATTAACAGAGGATAAAAGCAAAACAATACTATAATTATATAGAATGAAAACATGTATAAGCCATTGCTTCAAGGACCATGTACGTGGAGGTCCAGACACCAAATATTTATGAAGGAAACTCTCATAACTAAAACAAAAGTTAATGAGACCAAAATAAATTTTACACAAACCATAAGAAGAAAATAATCTACTTATATTTATTTAAGTAGTTTTTTTATGTATATCTTTGTGCGGACTCATTATTTTTGGTTGAATGAGATTAATATTGTCATTTACACAAAATCTGTTTTTGTAAAATGTACACAAAAACATACAATAAAAAATAGTAAATAATATTTCTCTATTAAAATGATAGCATTTAATTAATTTGGTAATATCATGTGGTTTTATTGTATAATCTTGGACAAACATTAGAAAAAAATTGATGTAAAATATATGATCACAATTATGAAGTACATAGCACTAAGATGAGGTTTCTTACCAAGTGTAGAACAAAACAATCCCAAGAATTGTGGAATGAATTATCACGCCCTTCAAAGCAAGCTCTGTCTATGAAGCAAAAGATAGCAAAATAGTTTGACGTATATTAAGATGAAGTTCTTAGTGATAGTACCAAAGCAAAATGCAAAACAACCTTAGTGATCCAATTCAATTGTAGTGGAAAGTCTTACGAAGTTCACTAGAATCTTCCTTGAAAAAGTGTTGTCCTATGAAGTTGAAAATTTTGAGGATCAAGATGAATGAACGTGTAAGCATAAAAAACAAAGAAGCAGCAGCGTGAGGAAGGAAGGAAGAAGGAAACTGCAGAACACAAGTCTGAAATAGTTGTATAGTCAAAAAATTTAGAGAAACAGTTGAGTCAAGAGAGAGTGATAAAGAGAAAGAGAAAAAGTGAGTTTGATATTTAGTTGGAAATAAAATTTAACCAATGTTTCAGTCACTGTAAAAGATTTATTCCTTTTCACTTTTTATTCCTTATAATGTATGTGATGTAGTTCTAACAAATAATCAAACATAGAAAAAGTGCACAAGATACTCAAATTATGTTTTGTGTAACAACAGTAATATTTTGCATTATGATTGTAGTCTTAAAATCATTAGCTTAAGTGATTTTTATCCTCCTTCAACAATAGAAGAAGAAAACCAATTCCTAGAGAAAAAAAATAAAGAAATAAAAGATAACAAAAAGAAAGAAGATTATTATTTTTTTAAATGTTAATGAAGGATATTAAAAAAAAAAAGAGAGAGAGAGAATGGTGTCAAAAATTAAAAAAAATGGGTGCTGAAAATTATCCTCCTCCTTTTTTTATGGTAAAAAAAATATAATCCTCCTCCTCTTGAATCTTACTCTTTTACTTTGGAAGAACAACGAATGAAGCACTCTTTTCCAAATGTCATAGAAAAAGCCCACCGTAAAAGAAAAGATAATAAACTACAGACAAGCATGTCATTTTCCTTTTGCTATCTCTTGGACATTGCGTTTATTGTAGTGGGCCTGTTTCGGTTGACAAAAAAAAAAACACAACAAAAATATTTAAATACACAACTTATTTAAATATTTATTTAATAAGATTTTTTAATTAATAAGTTATATACAAATATTATTCAAATAAACTAAAAATAATTTACAACAGTTTATAAAAGTTATAAATAAATTTTTATAAAAATTTTCAAATAACTTAAAAAACGAATAATCCTTTACTGTAATCTTTAAAATATGCAACATCACTTAAATTAATATTTAAAATTAAAATTTTAAAACAATTTAATTCTTATAGTTAATAAATATTTTTATTTTGAAATTTTTAACCCCTTCCTCATTTATTTTTTATTTGTTTTCTTCCCTTTTTTTTTATCACAATAACAGTAACGTTCAACTCTAACAATTTTTTTTAACCTATCACTAATATTTAATGTTGTACTTCCCATAACAAAATATTAACTTCTTAATCTCATGCATTTCTTTTTTCTTTTGTTTTATCTTTTTTTGTTTCTTCCATTTAATTACACTGGTAAAATGCTAACTTCTCATTTATATTTTTATTTTCTTCTTTTCTTTCAACCAGACCAATAATAATATTTAAGATTTTCAAAATAAAATTTTTAAATTAATTTAAAATGACTAGTTCTTGCCGCTTTTGCACTCAAGGTTTTAAAAAAGACAAATTAATTTAAAAATTAAAACTAAAATAAAAAGTTGTAGAACGATACAAGAAATAGAAAGAAAGAAATAAAGATGAAGAAAACAGAAGAAACACATAAAAGTGAGAAATTAGTATTTTAGTGACGTAAATAAAAACAAAAATACTTGAAGCTAGAGAAAGAAAATAAGATGAAAATATTACTATTTTATATTTAAAATAAATTTCACCTAACAAATTATAACTCCATTATTTAATTTTAACATTTTAAATAATAGAATATAAATTAATGTACAATAATTAATCTCATAACATTTAAAATTTTAAAGATTCGTTTAAGTAACTTGCAGGTTTACTCCTTTAAAACACTAATCAGCGGTTTACTATGTTGGCCCACAGAATATGATAGAATTCATAATTACAAATTGCAAAATTTGATCTTATAATAATATGCGTGTTTTAATTAATTAATGTAATTCCACTTCACTAAAAGCACTGAACAGATGCAACCAAAGAGGTTTATATTAATATTTAAGGGAACGTGGCTGCCACGCGTTTCTGATTTTTATATTCTTCAACTCTCATTTTAATAATCACCCCCAAAGATTCTTATGAAACCACAGGATTTAACACCAAGTTAAGGAATATTTTTTAAAATTATTTCATAAAATAAATAACTTTATGTTAAACAAATTAATATAATTTTGATTATAAAAGATTAATGTAGTATTTTAACTTCATTAATTCATTTAAAATAAAATGATTTAACCCCTAATATAACTTTAACAAATCAAGCTAAAAATAACTCATTGGACTTCATAGAACCGCGTATTCAGTCATCGTTCACTGAAATTCTACAATTTTGAACTTGACGTCACTTGAATTGAGATTGGTGCACCAAGTTCAAGAGTCTTCAAAATCGTCATGCCCATAGAAAATAGCAATAAAGCTTAATTACTAAATAAGAATAACACGTAACGAAGTAAAATAACTTTATAAGTACCAAAAGAGTTATGATATGGATTCTTTTCCCACTCACAAATGGACCCTCCTAATCTTTTTTCTAATTCATCAAGTATACCCAAGAAAATTTTCTTTGACTGTTTCATATATAATTTATAGCTATATATAACACTATCATCATCTCACTCAAAATCAATAACCAAAGTGCTATTAGCTTTACATATTGAGTACCCTTAGCCATGTCAAAGCCCTTATACTCCGTGCCTGCACTAGTCATCATATTCATTACATCTTATGCTGATAGTTCTGTTACATCATCAATATGTGCTCCTTCTAATTGTGGCAACATCTCCATTCACTACCCTTTTTGGAGACGATCCAATACCATGGTTGAAGAATTTTGTGGTTATCCAGATTTTGGTCTTGAATGCTTGGAAGACAAGGCCATCATCACTCTTCCAAGTGACACGTACTATGTGAGAGAAATAAACTATGACAATCATTCAATTACCCTTGTTGACATAGATGTTTTGAACGAACCATGTCCAAGGGCACAACACAATGTTTCCTTACACAACCTTCCTTTGTCTTTTAGCTCATTGGATGTGAATCTTAGTTTCTATTTCAATTGCAGTTTAAACCCTTCATCTGTTGATCCAATAGGGTGCTTTAGAAATAGTTATGATAAGAATCAGTCTTATGTGTTTGTGGCTGGTGAGGAACCTGCTAGTGATGGCCATGAATGGCTTATGCAATGTAAGGATCATGTTGTGGTGACAGTGCAACAAAATGAGATTGGAAGTGTTGGTTTGATCACTGGGTTTGGTGCTGCTATGAAGAAAGGGTTTGTGTTAGATTGGATGAGAGCTGAGGATTGTGCTGAGTGCGAGATCTCTGGTGGAAATTGTGGATATGATCAAAACTCTAAGCAATTGAGATGCATATGCAAAGATGGTAGTGTGGTTGCCAGAAGTTGCAAAAAAGGTACACTTGTTTTAGCTTGCTGAAAAAATATTGTTTATATTTCTTTAATGCAATCTTTGCTTGCTCGATCACATTCACCTAATCACAAGTAATAGTATGGATACACACATCCATACATCAATTGATTTTTATTCACTAGAACTTGGTTATTAATTATGATTCAAAAGTTAATGATACTTGAAACAGGTATATTAATTCTAGCTTGATTAGATGTTGTGGCTCGGTTCGGTTGCTTTATTTGATTGATTTTTCGTTCCATTGGCATTAATTAGTGCACTTAGAGTGTCCAAGTTTACTTCTTCCATATTTTTTTTAAGACATTTCATGATTTTGTATCTTAATTGGTTTTTTCATTTGACCTTGTTGTAATTCTAGTTGAACACAGATTGTGTAAGAATATAAAATTCGTCACATCATTTATGAATCCACCAAGTAACAGGCTGGACTTATTATACAAAATATGTTCACGTGTTATTAAAATTATAATATTTGTTATTCGAACAGAGAATTCGTCTATGGGAGAAACCATTATAGTTTAAACTCACCTTTTGGGTTCAATTTGGATTGCAAGTTATGACTGAAAACTCAAGGCATTTCCTTGCGGAATGAACTTGATCAGAACACAATTATGAAAGCTTTTATAAATAATTAGTTGCATAGCTGAGGAATAATATTAAAAAATTATTAGTAAATAAGCAGTTATTCATTAATTCGATTGATAAATTGAGTAATAAATTGTTTTTTAAATCGTATATTTTATCATTAATATTTAACTTTGATTTTCAATTTTTTTTTAATCTATGTATCGTGGACCTGGTGGGCATGTGGGTCCGGAATCAGAGGTACTTACTTGGACTTGGGCTTAGGACCTGACCCAAATGACTACTGGGTTGATCATCTGCAAGCCCGTAGTTGCAATGGACTTACGAGCCCAATTAGAAGCATAAGGAAATTCAATTTTTTTTGGGGTGGTTTTACTTGTCAGAGAATAGCTGAATAAGAATGAGAACAACTGAATAATATAGTCAACATATTTTGTTTCTATCGCTGACATAGTAATAAAAAATGGTGCAGATACAAAGAATGCTATTTTTATATACCCTTATCCCAACTGTGCATCATTATTTTTTGGGGTTATTCTAATATAAAAATATCTTAATTGAGAACATATAAAAACATGAATTAACTGCACATTTAGAATAATTACAAGGGGAAAAGTAGGGGGAGACTCATTCCTTTATTTCAAACGTAGAAGTAAAAACCATTTTTTCCTTTAAGAAAAGGGACAAATAGAAAAATAATAAAAAACGGTAGGTAGAGAGTTTGTTTTCTCAATTAATTAATATATTATCAGTTTGTTTCTTGTGCAATTTGTTTTGGACAACAATTTTCCAGCAAAGCACATAATGTTTTTGTAATGGTCAATGATCCAAACTTTCTTGGTGAGCAGCTTTTCCTTTTAGCTCAATTTTATATATTATATATATCTTGTCCATTTTTCTCTTATTTCTTTTATCATTCACTTTGATGAAGTTTGTGTTTATGTATTAAATAAAAGTCGGAAAACTAAGCCTCATCACTAATGTGACAAAGACATCTGCAGCCAGTGATTAAAATTTTACCCTCAGCACATGCTTGTAAAAACAGAATTTAAGACTGATACTACACTATTTTTAATACACTGTGATGAATTTTAGAGAAAATTATTAACAAGAATTTTATGTTAAATAAAACATTAGAAAAATTAATTTTTGATCTATGTAGTCGACCTCAACCAGATGCCTTTCGTTGTTGTTGATAGAATTAAACTGTACTACTACATTTAATGTTCACTTCCAAACCGTCAACACCCTTTTTATGAAGCCAACAAGCAAGTTAAACGTCATTTAGTTTGACTTAGATATATACTATATTGTTGTACTGTACTTGATCATTTGCCTCATCTGCAAAATTAGGCCTCTCTCAGATTTCTATCATTACTGCCACACATGCTTCCACCTCTTCTTTCACCTCCTTCTTTCCTCATCAAGACCCTTTTCTTCCTCTCTCTCTTCTTCCCTACATATTTGCCTAGTGATGCTGTAGGGTATACTGCATGTGAACCTTTCAGCTGTGGAAATTTCAGTAACATTAGTTACCCTTTTTGGAGTAACAACCAACCAGAATATTGTGGGCATCCTAAGTTCAAGCTTGATTGCCAACAAGACGACGTGATTATTGACATAATGTCACAGATGTTCCATGTCATTGATATGAACCCAACATCTCAAATTTTGAAGATTGCAAGGTTGGATTTATGGGATGTTGTCCCTTGTCCTAAGCAGTATGTCAATGTCAACTTGGATTTTGCTTTCTTCAACTACACTTCCAACGATGATAACTACACTTTGTTATATGACTGTGGGCCTATTCCGTACACATCTTCTGTGAATTTTGATTCTTCGAAAGTTTTTGAGTGTCCGAGAGGGGATGGTGTTAGTGATGCATTCTTGGTGTTAAGTACTGATGTGGCTAATTTCAATCTTCTGGGGTGCAACAACAGCATCAATGTCCCTGTTCTTAAAGCGGCTGCCAAGGATCTTTTGAATGTAGAAAATGTTTTAGATGAAGGATTTGAGATTGAGTGGATGGGTATTGATGGAGTCAAATGCGATGGTTGCATAAAATCTGGGGGTAGATGTGGACACAATGCATCAATGAGTGCATTCATGTGTCTCTGTCCTAATCAGCAATCTTATATTGATGGGGTTTGTGGCAAAAGCCTAGAAAAGTCACCATTACTAGCACCAACACCTAAACCATCATCAGAATGGGCATTGTTACCTCCTTATGCTCCAAATTATCAAAAACAGCCTCATCATGGTCCAAGTATGTGTTCTTCCTTCTCTGATTTTAATTAATTTCTCCTACTCAATAATCTTATTCTTTGGGATGGTGACATTGGATTTTTATTTTTTGAGGATCCAAATCCAAATGCGTTACATTACATCCATTCTGGGTAGGTAGAGTTCCATTTCATAGTCATGGAATGAAACTGTTTTGTTTGCGTGTTCAAAAGTTTTCTTTGGTTAGAATAGTTCCCTTTATTCTTTATTCTGTGTAGAGGTTTTATAATAATAGCATCGAGCTATTAAAGACTGCGTGTCCAAATTTTATAATGTCCTATATAGGTTTGGTGTATTAGGGTCAGTTGGCTTTCATTGACTTTTAAAGAATAACAAGTAATAATAACAAGCATGAGTTTTTAAAGCCTGCATAATGATATAGTAGTGGTATCACACTTGGGAGATTATTACATGTTACAATTTAAGATTTTATGGAAAGATGATAGCAACATTTACCTAACAAGTGGTACTATTTTTTTAATATAATTTTTTAAATATAAAACTTTGTGACTACCTTGATTCAAATAACTGACTGCATTACCAGAAGCATGATTTCTTCCCTCTTTGCTCTGTTCTCATTCTCATTTTCCATGGTTGAAACTTGAGAGATGGGTTAAGGAAGAAATTCTTAAAACATCACTTTTGTTTAATAGGACAAAGATGATAGAGGAAGCTTCACTTTTCATCAACAGTGTTAGGAGATATAAAACCAATCATAAACCTTCACTTGATGATAACTTAAACTTTGAAGAAACACAAATAGTAGAGCAGCTCTAGAACAAGCATGGCTACTAGAACCATCAGTTGGTTGAAGCAGACTTGGAGATGTTTATCTTAACACATTTAAATTTGGCAATCTAATATATGATAGAGATCAGAATGTTACTGTCACAAGGTATATGTTAATCCTAAGTGGATTAATATAATCAAAAGTAAATTAAAAACTTAAAAAGCTTGACTAAATTTTATAAGTCAGATAGTTTTGGTCTATTATATTGAATTCAGCTGATGCAAATTAGTAACTAGTTTATGCTAATTTATTTCTAAGCAATTATTAAGCAGTAAGGTTATGTTTCTCTACAAGTCCCTCATCCTTAGTCAACACCTCTCTCCTTACTTTCACTCTACCATCTTTTTTCCCCTCACAAAATATATTTTATTTTTCTAGGAATCAACCCTTTAGCAAAACAGAGGTATCGATCATGTTTTAAATTATATATTATAATTATGCTAATTTTTTTTCTAGGAATCATCAGAATGTTATTGCTTCGTCTTTATATGCTAATTTTAAATTATAACTGATTAAACTTCAGAAAAGAAATAGGGGATAAAAAATATGATACTAAACGATTCTTATATTCAATTTAATCTAATAGTCATTTCTACACCAAAAAAAGACTATAAACTTTAACTTTAAATATTTGACTTGATTTGTTTATACCTTCTTTTTTTTTCATTTTCTCTATTTAACCAAATGATAAAGAAATGTTTTTTTTTTCTTAATATTTCTCTTCACCTATTTTATTTCTACCTAATTTTTTTTTCTGTGCTAAGGCCCATATTTCTTAACTTACTGACTTAATAGTTATACTTGCTATTTCATCCAAAAAAAAAATCCCACCAACGAATTACATATGCATGGTGTGTAAAAAATTTCGTATATACAATTAAAATTTCTTTATTTAAAATATATACAATAACTATGCTATATCAATAATTTACAATAACAACAATTTATTGTAAAAAGAAAATTTTGACATGAATCGTTAGCATAATTCTTTGATTTGAAGATACATAACATTATTTGAACTGGATTAAAATATAAAAACAACGACAAAAAATACGTAGAATTTATAAATTACATGTGAATTTACAAGGAAAGAGTTAACTGCTTGTTTTTTTGGCTTGCTAAATAAGGCTTGATTTCAAGTAAATAGAACAGAAAATACGTATTGCTTGTTATTTGTTACTAACTCCCTTACCTCTTTGTATTAAAAAATATTAATCACTGTGCAATTTAAAGACAAATCTAATAAAAAACAAATAAATTGACAACAAAGTATGATAGCACTAATTAAAAATTAAAGAGAAATGTAATAAAATACTAAGAAATTGAAAATAAATTATAACAGTACTAAATTAAAATGCTTAAAGCAATGAAGGAAAAGTAGAAAACTGAGTGGCAGTTTGGTCTTTTAGAAAATTTGAACTCGATATTCTTTTGGTCAAGTCAATGGCATATAGAGAGAAGTAGGAAAGTGAGGTGTAGTTTCGTGGGTGACTCTCGTTTTCTATAACCCTATCAACTATGGCCTGCCATTAATGCCAATGCATTTCTTGTTCTCTACGGTCAACACAACACAACACGTCCTTCCTTCATTCCTTCTTATTAGAGATTGGGAATTGCTTTATATTATATGGTGATGGGTGATGCATATGATATATAAAACAGAGTGTAGTAAGTGAAAGAAAAGAGCTTGGCTTGGCCTTGCACATAAGAATGGATCATCACATCCGTAACACACCCTTACTCCTCACAACCATAGCCACCATCTTTTTCTTCATCTTAACAAATTTGGCACAATACCACTGTGATGAAGAAGACACCAAATACAGTAATTGTAGCAGGCCTTACATGTGCGGAGGTGTGACCGCCTCATACCCTTTCTGGGATGGTCACATGAGACCCCAATATTGTGGGCGAGGTGGCCCATTCAAGCTCTCATGTGACGAGAATAAGGATAGTTCGATTCAGATGGGCAACCAAAGTTTCTTTGTGCACAACATTAATATACTCAACTACACCATCAAAACGGGGAGGGAAGACATTCCTTATGGTGAAATCGAAGAGCGTGTTTGTTCTAAGGATTTTGCCAACCTTAGTTTGGACCCAACTCTCTTCAAGTATACCGAAAATGTACACAACATCACCATATTCTTGAATTGTTCCTCTGGAGTTTCCAATAATGGTGTTGGACACTCTTTTCTGTGTCCATATCATAGTTATCAGAATCAAGATGCTTTCTTTGTGGATGAGGATGATTCAGACAAAGATATAGAGCAACTATTTAATGCCTGCAACCGTAGAATCCAAGTGCAGGCTTTACGCAACATTCCTCATTATGGTGGTCCTGAAAGTGGAATTAATGCTCTTAGAGATGCTTTCATTGGTGGGTTTGAGGTGAAATATAATGCTAGCTCTCAAGAATGCATAGAGTGCACGGAGAGTAAAGGAGCTTGCGGAGGGAAAGGAAGCAATGAATTTACCTGCTATTGCCGGGATGGATTTGATGCTTTGAATTGCAATGGTCACAGTGATGAATATAAAAGTATGCTTTTCCTTTACCCTCTTCTATCTCTTATCTACAATTCAACTTCTTCATTTAAAGATACAAACACAAATTTTCAAGCTAGCGTCTTACTTTATTCATTCATTCCAGTGCCCATTGCAAAATCTATATTCTGTAGTACCACATACAAATACAATTTCTGCTTCACCCAATAATCATCTCCTCAGTTTCTGAAGTCCCATGCGAATCTGGTTGTTGTAGCTGAGAAGTATGGTGTAAAATGCAAATTTGAATCGGTATTTTTTTATAGTAACGTGATATTGGGGGAGAGAGTCACAATTTTTATGACATAATGATTCACAGAAAGTCTCACTTCTCTTTCCAATCGAAATCCCCTGCCTCTTAGGTGCTTACTCCTTTCTTCAGAGTCTCTTCCAAATATACAATTCAACTTCTTCATTAAAATATACAAACCTCATTTTTCTAGAGTTGAACTAACTAATGTCATGCTTTATTCATTCATACCAGTTGCCATAAGAATATCTATATTCTGCAATGCCATATATAAATATAGTTCCTGCCTCAGGCCTCCTAGTGGGAATCTAAAGTAGGGTCATTTGTTTTATCTTTTTAAAAAAAGTAATTTTAAGAATATATAAAAAATATTTATTTTTAGAGAATTTTATAAAAATTAAAAGTTATATTTTGTATGGTTACAATTATAAAAAAAAATACTTTTTTTTTATTTGAATGGGTGGTTATGATTTCAACTTTTTCTTTAGAAGCTATTCAAAATAACTTCTTGAAAAAGCTAAAATTAGATTTTTTTTAATCTTAACCAAACAATCCCAAAAACTCAAAAATAATTAATATATATATATATATATATATATATATATTTTAAAAAAATACTTTTCTATAAAAATTCTGAAACAAACAGGCTCGTAAATATTCTCAATTTCTTCAGTAAGTACCATGCGCCCATGTTTTTAATTTCTTAATTATTATTTATAGGATATTAGTGAGTATTTTTCAGTTGTTGATCATCAATTACTTCAAGAATGAGTTAATAATAATAATAACAATAATAATAATAATAATAATAATAATAATAATACAAAGGTATTTTGTGCAGTGACGATTACGTTTGTGAACCTGAGTGTGAGAAAAGCCAGAGTCGTGGTTGACTACGTTGTTTGTTTTTCTAGGTCCTTGTCTACAATACAAGTACTGGGTTGCAGCTTCCATTAGACCAAATACCTTCCTTTGAACAAGTCAATCATCCAATCAAATGATTTCCAATAATTTTTCTCTTCACCTATACTTCATTTGGTTCTCCCTCCTTTCACCATACGTATCAATTTGTACATAGGGCTAAAAATGTATCTTTGATTTTAACTATCTTCCGTTTTTCCTGAATTTTTCTTTTATAACCCTTTATGTCATCTAGTATTATTATTCTCAAAAATAATGCTGCTGTTGTCTCATTGAGTGAGATGTCCATGAATTCATTTTCTGAAACAATTATCAATGTTTTAAATTATTATTAAGATATAATATACAGTATGATAAATGCTATAAATATTTTAGTTAGTCGTTACTGGTAAAAAAGACTTCTAACCAACTATTTTACTAGTACAAAAGAATTTTAATTAGGATTTATTTGATTGAAAATTTTGCATGTTAGTGGGGCCAAAGAAATCAATTGGTTGAGGCTTCTCTCATAAAAGTGACATAACAGAGAAATAAAATGGCATGGCGTGATGATGTTATTTATTACTATATCTTAAGGGTATAGTGGTGATTTTATTTGTGTGGCAAGTCTTCATTTTCCTTCTTTCTGGTCCAACACGTCTTTCACCATCATGGACTTCATTTTCAGCTTTCTTCTACTTTTAAGAATATTAAAAGTATTGATGTTTGAAACCGGCTTTACTTTCTCCATTTCCCATTGCAAAATCCTCGCTCAAATTAAAATCACCACTCACACTGACTAATCAATTTTAAGTTATTACTGTTTACATAACTTTATATAGTCTCAACTGTGCAAATTTTATGTACATAACTTTATATCTAGATATAAATAAGTGCATCCAACAATATTTAAATGAAGCAATATATACAGTTGCATGCAGATATAGCAGCAACGTATATATGTAGAAAGAAAGACTACAACACTGTACATCCTATAGTTGCTTTTAAATTTGTTCTACAGGTATGGAAATAATAGGACCAACCATAAGATAAAACCAATTATTGGCTATTGATCTGTATTATAATGAATACTAAACTTCTAACTTAGCACTTGCTCACTAATTGATTTATTCATTTATTACACATAAATCAATGATTGATAGATAAGTATTGCCTGCAGAGATTTATTTATCTACCTTGCAGTATCACTGTGATGTCACCATTTTCTCAATTGTATTTGTTTTAGGTATATACTTATTATATTACTACAAAGAAAATGGACTCTGCAAACTTCTATTGCAAGATCACTTCACCTACTTTCCATTGTGGATGTTCAACTTTTGACTAGTTATTATGCACACCCACCCATAAAACTACAAAAACGCCCTTAACAATTTCAAAATACAACTATTTACTAACTAGTACAGGAAAACAAAGATTAGGAGTTGGCCTACTTCTCATCTTTGTAAAGGATCCAATCTATGGTTATCTGATTTTTTAACTTTTGTTAAGTCTTCCTCTATCTTTTCAAACACCAATCATAAACCCCTTCACAAAATAGTAGCGTATTTTCTTGTAAAATGTTCCACATTACATACCTACCAACAGCTTTGAAATTTTGTCCAACATCCAAATTCTCTTCTTCTCTGAAACCTTATCAAATATCTAGCACCAAATGATCCTTCAAGTCTTCTTCCATTACAATAAACCTCAATTACACATTATTATCACCATTACAGTCCTCTTGGTTACCACTGTTCTATCTGCTAATCCAAAATTTGAGGCCTGCACACCTCAAAGCTGCGGAACTGGCCCAACCATAAAGTATCCTTTCTGGATTCCTCATGAACAAGAATCATATTGTGGCTGTCCTCACTTTGAGATCACCTGCATGGACAAAAATCCAATTCTCAAAACTTCTAATTACGATTTCTTAGTAAAAGATATCTTTTACTCTAACTCTTCATTTACTGTGGCCAACATAGATATCTATGAGGATAAGTGTCCTGCTCCTATGTATAATTACAGCCTTGATCAAACTCCTTTTACCTTTAGTTCTGAAAATGCCAATCTCTCTTTTTTCTACAGTTGTACCACAGAACCTATAGATTACCCTACTTACGAAGTGGATTGTGCTAAAAATGCTACACATTATTCTTTTGCTGTTTTTCATAAGGAGGCACTGGAGCACAAAAATTACTCCTTTAATGAGTGTCAGTTTATGGTTAATGCACCATTGAACATGAATGCTGTTGTAAATTTCACAAGCTTATTGAGAATGAATTACACTGAAATTTTGAAGATGGGGTTTGTTTTGAATTGGACTGCACCTGATTGCCAACACTGTGAGAAAAGTGGTGGACACTGTGGATTTGCTGGCAATCAGTTCCTCTGCTTCTGCAAGGATAAGTCCTACTTAAAAATTTGTGGTGATGGTAACACATTTGGAAATATTCTGATAATACCTTTTTAGTCTCTAAAGCTACCATTTTTTAAAGTTTCTATTCTAATACAAATAGTTCTTATGGCTATCTTTGTCATACAATTTTTGGTACATTAAGGCATAGCTGTTAGTCCATTAGTTCTTACTTTCTTTATGAAGCCTTTGTTGAAAGTAGATATATATACATGTCTGTGTTTGTTAGATTAAAGTTCAGCATCTTCCTTGAATTGGCACAAACACAATGCTAACTCATCTTTGCTTCCATGCGAACTGTTGCAGGCAGATTGAATCGGAAAAAGGGAATCATTATAGGTAATAGATCTACTTTTCCTTGAAATTTTATTATTTATTGTTTTTCATGTATTTGTCTCATTAATAATAGTATATTAATTGAAATTTCCTGTTGTTCTTCTTAGGTGTTTCTTCTCTGTTTGGAGTATCACTTGTAGCAATCATTGGCTATTTCTTATGGCAGCGCCGAAAGAAGAATAGTTATGCAATGCCATATATACAATCTCGGAGCCTGTCTTCTGATCCATCACTGAAAGACACTGAGAAGGGAAGTCTAAACTTTGCGCCTGGAGTGCACCTCTTCTCCTATGATGAACTTGAAGAGGCCACAAATTACTTTGACTCGTCTAGAGAACTAGGAGAAGGGGGATTTGGGACAGTGTACTTTGGTAAAAGCTAGCATCCTTTGTTGTATCTCAGTTATTTTTGTGCTTCCAATGATAATTGACAAAGGTTTCTATCTTATGATGTTTATTTGTCTAGGAAAACTACGTGATGGCCGTTGTGTTGCAGTGAAGAGGTTGTATGAGAACAATTGCAGGAGAGTTGAGCAATTCATGAATGAAATTAAGATCCTAGCTCGGTTAGTCCATCCAAATCTTGTGTCACTATATGGATGCACCTCTCGCCACAGCCGTGAACTTCTGCTTGTATATGAGTACATTTCTAATGGAACTGTTGCTGATCATCTTCATGGTGGAAGAGCCAAACCAGGAAACTTCCCTTGGCATATTAGAATGAACATTGCTGTGGAGACTGCAAGTGCATTGAAATATCTTCATGTTTCCGATATTATCCACAGAGATGTGAAAACCAACAATATACTTCTTGATGATCAATTTCGTGTCAAAGTAGCAGATTTTGGACTCTCACGCCTTTTTCCAAACCTTGTCACTCACATTTCAACAGCTCCACAAGGAACTCCAGGTTATGTGGATCCAGAATACCATGAATGCTACCAGCTTACCATCAAAAGTGATGTTTATAGCTTTGGAGTGGTGCTAATTGAGCTGATATCATCGTTGCCTGCGGTTGATATCACGAGACATAGGCATGAAATTAATTTGGCCAACATGGCCATTAACAAGATTCATACTCAGGCACTGCATGAGCTTGTAGACCCTACACTTGGCTTTGAATCAGATTATAAGGTAAAGAAAATGATAAATGCTGTGGCTGAGTTAGCATTTCAGTGCTTGCAGAGTTCCAAAGATATGAGACCTTCTATGGATGAAGTGTATGATACTCTCAAGGATATACAAAGTGGAAGCAATCATAAAAGCCAACCTGAGGTAATGGATATCTCAAGTTCAGCTGATGATGTTGTGTTGCTGAAGGATGATCCACCCCCACCGTCACCTGATTCTAATGCTGTGAGCAAATCTACAACACCAAATGCTAGTGGATAAGTGAATCTTCTTTCACATTTCAAGAAGTTAACTTTATCGAAGTTTATATACGCAGAGTTAGCATCACACTGGAAGCATCCACCAATTATAACCACCTGAGTTATGTCATCTGCTTATGCAGATAACTTTTCGGATTGAGATGTATAATATATAGATGACAAAGCTCAGCTGCTATGGTTATGGATTTTCATCTTTTTAATAAATATTATTAATTTTTTTTTCTCTACCAATTACGAAAAATTGAATTGTAAGATCCACCCAAAACTCTAATCTCAAGAAGCAGAGCTTCCCAAGTAGCTATTTTTTAATCTTTTCTGTTTAATATTGATCGCTCAGTGGAAATGCATTTTTAGATACATAAAACTTACATGCTAGTGTAAATTTGAAGAAATAGATTACAAGATAAACAGTGCCTTCAGTGTAAAGTAGTATAAACCTTGCTTCTATATATTTTAGAGAAAAAAGTTTTCTTTTTTAATTTTCTGATGATTTTTTAAGAAGTGATTATTCTTACAATTTTTAAGTATCCACATATAAGCACTTTACATTCATTTTCTTTTGTTGTACGAAGTGCGAACAAAATATTTTATAGTAAGGTCTGAAACTAAAAACCAGATAAGGCTTTTTTAACATCCAAACCAAAACCAAAAGTTAAAAAAGAATAAACGAAACCAGATAATTGGAGCACTCTATACATGTCATGTTACAACACATCATTTTTTTTGTGATTGCTGAAAATTATGGCAACAGTGCAACAATGTGCCAACAAAGGCAGATTGAGGTTTCAACAAGGGTGAAGGTAGGTCCATCATCCACTCTTGACAAATCCATAAAATTAGTCTGAACCTTCAGTATACCTAATTTTATTCATCCATTACTTGCTCGCTATGTTGAATGGATACATGAATATTTTATAATTTAAAAAAAAAATAAGATTAAAATTGTTTCTGTAAAATATCTAAATAAATTTAAAAAGAAACTAATTTGATCATCTTTAAGTGACAACGTTTTGTTGGTTATCTCAAAATGCTCTTCACGAAGGTCAAAACCTGCAAGCAAGTGTCATATGTTATGGTTTTTTGTTTTTATCAAAAACATAAGCTAATATTATAATAAATAATAATTAAGTCTACTAATAATATGATCAATTATTAACTAATTTCAAGCATTTAATATTAATCTATATGAAAAATAATATAGGCTTTAACCCAAGAGCCCATAATGCTAAGAATTAGGATTAATATTTTATGTATTTAGTTAAATTTTCGTGCTTAACAATTATGTAATATTTCACAACTCATGGACTCTGCTCAGCGAGAGTGACTATCACTTTTCAGAGAATTCAAAGATATCTTCTCTTCACAGAGAAGTCTCATGTCTCCATATATCTCCCCGCCGTGTCCTTTCTACCCTCAAACAAACCTAAGGCTCAGTCAGTTCACCTCTTAGTAAGACTTGTGATTGGACAAGTAAGGTCTAATAGCCACCACTGTAAGTTCTTTGTCCTTTCAGCAAGTCTCCAGGTATTCCACGTCCCAATGGGCTCTATCTCATCACTGGACCCGGATTCTCTCCGGAATTGGACATCCTGTCACGTTGATTTTGCATTTTCACTTAAGTTAAAAAATTTTGTTTAAACGAAAATATAAAATTTTACTTGACTGAACAGTTCAGTTCGCGCCAAAACAGGAGAGAATCCCAGTCCCTCACGACCTCCTTCCCCTACTGTCACTTGCGTAGGAGTAGTCTGAGAAATATGATAACTTTCATAATAAGGATATATTTTCAACAAATAAGTTAAAAAAACTCTATTATAAATTATCATAGTGTTCTAATTTCATATAATCTCTTTTCATTAAATTTTACTTACACCATAGGCAACAAATACGACTGCAAGTGTATCAAAAGTGCATATGTAATGATTTTTGAAGTATCCGTGTATTAGTGCTTGGCCCGTATAAAAAGGAATGATCAGAGAATTAAAGTTCTTGTTAGACATATAAATGTTCTTAAATCTGAACTTAACTGGTAACAACTTTATATGTGGAAAAAAATAATGCTTCATCATATGACATTAATGAATCGAAGTGTAATGGTGGTTCTGATAATGGCAGTGAGATTTTAATGGATCAAAGCAGAAATTTAATTCTACGTCACAAATATTAGAAATTCCACACGGAGAAAAGCTGTTGATCATACTTTGTTGAACTGACAGATGAAAAAACACCAAATAAGACACTCCACAGTGAAAAGAAAGAAGTAATGAAAGAGGGAAATTATTCTTATTATTTACCAAGTCATTTCCTCCTCCTCCTCATGCCATAAATCCTAGTCTTTGATAGTTTTCTCTTTTCAGCCATATCTGCCACTTGTCTTTGTGTTGAACTTTTTTTTATCATACTTATACACTTTAATTTGTGTTGTTACAATAAAGTTATCCTACACAATTGGTATATGTCTTTTGCAATCAATGTAGTAACAGTTAAAGTTTAACACACATGTGAGATCCATTTGGTTTTCAGGAAGTCTGAAAAGTACCAAACAAATATGTTGACTGGTCCATTTTACAATATAACTTAAAGGCTTAGCCCAAAATGCAATAAAATTAATTAGAAGAGGAAGACTCTGTTCCCGTTCTAGTAGGAGAAGAAAGCAAAGGTTTTGGTGGAATTTCCAAGGAATTCATGCTGCCTTCCAACATATCTACCACTCTACTCATTGTAGGCCTGTCATTTGGAAATGTTTGAATGCACCATAAACCCACTATGGTCATTCTCTTTGCAATCTCATTTTCTTCTATGGTCATCACCTCATCTGGTCTTATATCATTGTCCAATTCAAGCCTCTTGTATACCAAATGTGGGAAGAATATTTCACTTGTTTGACTTGCTTCAGCATTAATATTCTTCCTCCCTCCCACCATTTCTAGCAGCATCATTCCATAGCTATAAACATCAGACTTATGTGAAACTCCACCAAAATGTCTATTGCACATTTCTGGAGCTACATATCCCATTGTCCCTCTAGCATCTGACATGGAGATAATGCTCTCTTTCCTTGGACAGAGCTTTGCTAGCCCAAAATCTGATATCTTGGGGCAGAAATTCTCATCCAAAAGAATATTATGTGGTTTTATGTCAAAATGTAAAATTCGAGTTTTGCATCCCCTATGCAAGTACTCCAAACCATGAGCTATTCCTATTGCAATTTGATACAAATTCTCCCAGCTCAAAGATGCAATGGTTTCAGGCCCTTTATTGTAAATGTACTTATCAAGGGAACCATTTGCCATAAACTCATAGATGAGAGCTTTCTTCTGGCCTTCCAAACAAAATCCAAGAAGGGTGACAACATTAACATGAGAGGTTCTAGTAATGCTAGCAACCTCATTGATAAAATCTTCGCCATTTCCTTTGGATGATTTCAACAATTTTACAGCCACAGGGTAACCAGTGGGTAGCTTTCCTTTATATACGGCACCAAAACCACCTTGACCCAGTTTATCTTTGAAGTAATTGGTCATTTTCTTGACTTCTGAAAATTTGTATCTTTTCTGTGCTAGAGCTCTATGCTCTTTTAAGAATGCTTCAATATGTAGGTCACTTTTTGTGGTGAACCAAAGTTTGACTTGCATTGATAATGACTTGTATCTATAACAACAAATTACGATGCACATCAATATTGCTGACATGATCCCACTTGCAATACCTGTTAACACAATATAGTAGAAGAACCAGCAGTTCAGAAACAATTGATAGCCTTTATTTTGAAAAGTTAATTTTTATTAGTTTAATACGTGCCCGGCAATCTAAGCCTTAATAAATAAGAGGTATAGTGTCCTGATTTTCCTATGAAAATTAATGTTAGGCTTGCTAATTATAAAATCCCTTCTCAATCTCTACCAAATGCTATGCTGGAAATAGTTGAATGGCAAAACTGTTGAACATAAAAAATCATTTATGTGCTTTCATTCAATAACAATTTTTTTTAAGATATTTTATGACATGCATGGTGTCGGTGTCTAAACCCATATAACCAATAGTCTAAAAATTCCAATCCTTGTTTTCCTTTTCGTCTAAAAAAATATCAAATTTTATAATAAGGTAGAGTGAGTCCGTGCATTATGTGTCCATGCTTCAAGCACAAAAGATTCCTTTGCGAGTGTGATAGGCAAATAGTTCATATGATTTTTCTAGGTTCAACAAAAGGACTTACATTACAATTAAACTACTGATCTTTTAATAACAAGTATTTGTTAGGAAGAGCATATAGACAACCTATGAAAGCACTTTATAACTCACATAAGTTCTTTTTAACATATTTCAACAAGTTTCTTAATATAACTTATTAGAATAAATTATTGTCATTTTATCCTAACAAGCTTCATGTCAAATTTGTGGCATAAGTCATCGCATAAAAATAACTTATTGAATAAGTGCTTAAATTAGTTGTGTATCAGTTGCTCCGAAAGAATACTGTTGTTTATTCTGTCTTGGCCGATTCTAAAGGCTATTTTTCTTTTCCGAAGAACTTCGAAGTTATTTCCAAATGTGCAAGTCTTATTTTGGATTCGGCAACAAGGGCAGAAGGCACGGTCTAAGATTGTCTATATAATTGTTTTTTCATTGCAGATGGATTACGCATTTGTCATAAAAGTAACTCACGAAATAGTGAAAAAGGAAAGTAAAAGGATAATTGATCTGTTACCTATGGCGATTTTCCATGAACCAACATGGTGGTGATTACCTGCAACAGTAAGAATTGATAGAAATGGGGTGTGGTTAGAGTGATATAAATTTTTTAGGAATGTTCTTTAGATAGGAAGAAAATATCCTATCATCCTATTCGTAGTAATCACTTGAAAATGAAAGGGGAATGACAAATAACGCATATATGGGAGCGTTTATTGTTACTTCTATTTAAGAAATTTTTATGTAAAATACATTGACTATTAGTATGGTTGCAAGAGAGATAAAAAAGAACATTTTAGACAAAAATCACTTATATGGAAGTAACAATAGATACTTAGGAGTGACAATAGACACACCCTACATATATGATGACATTATTTCAATTATCATATCTTCTTCATATTTCACTCTACTATATTATAAAACTTAAACTAAAGAACTCAATCATGTCTAGGAAATGGAGTTGCTCTTTTATACGACCAAAGTTGATGTTAGTTATCATTTGGCTTCTCAAAGTATGTTCAGTTATCATTATGAGAACATAATATAATATAAACTGACCTGATGCTGGTGATGGTGGTGGTGATGGTGGTAAAAATGTTGGTGTTGGTGAAGGTGTTGGTGATGGGGATGGTGGAAGAAGTGGTGATGATGGTGGTATTGAATGCAATGGCGATGATGATGATGGTGATAATCGATGAGCTGAATGTGATGGCGATGATGATGGTGAGGATCGAGGTGACGCTGAACTTCTGAGACAGCTTCGATATCGAGAGCCAGAACTGCATACTGTTTTTAACATTTTTAGTTCAAAATTATGAAACATGCTGATGTATTTACAGAGTACATAACAAATGAGAGGTGAGATTTAAGGATTTATAATCATAACTATTAAATATTACGATAATTGGTATAATAAATTATTAAATGTTACGTGATAACTTAAATAATAAAATTTTACGTTAATCACTTTATTAGAAATTTAGAACACAGTGCAAGTTTTACTTCTCACACAGTTAACCACTTGTTTAACGTGTAAGACTCAAGGCATTTCATTGAATATTTTTGTTTCGCTTGAATATCAAAAATAGAAAAAAAAATTGACCTAAGACTCAAGTTAAACAATTAATAACAATAATATTTTATTAAAATTATTTATTATACTTTTATAATTTTAATATAATAAATATAGACTTTGAATAAAATCATTAATTTTAAATATTTAAATTCAACTCAAAAGAAACTTTTTCACACATAAAATAATTTGTCATACATTTAAGAATGTTAAATATGTGGCTATTTTTTTTAGAAATGAATAATATTGCATATTTAAATATATGTTACATTATTAATATGCAAAAATACAGATTATGTTTAAAATTTAAAAATTAAAATTAATTTTATTATTATTATTATTATTTTAGAAGTAAGAAAGTCTACTTAAATCGTGTTATATATATATAATCTACGAGTTCTACCCATTAAGCTAAATGGGACTGTTTTTTGGGTTGGCATTTACTTTATGTTAGAACTCAAATTAATAGTCATTAAAGTAATAATTAACATGTGTAAAAATAATTTTCAGAAATTTGTACATTTTTAAAATGCCCAATAAACCACACAATGCTAACAATGAATAATTACCATAAAAATACTAACTCTTAATTTTAATGTAAGAATTTCTCAGAAGCTACTTGGCTTGTCAAAGAAAACAAAATAAAATAAATAATTTTGAAGAACCTGATTAAATTAGAATAAGAAGAAGCCATACCCGTAGCAGAAGCAGAACTAGAAGAATTAACAGTGTACACTATTCTCATTCTTTTAACCCTCACCACATTGGCAGAATCACTTCCCAATGAGCTTCTGCTGCTGCTGTTGTTGCAATCTGTTTACCAAAATATTTTCATTAACAATGAATTTTTATATATTAAATTTAAACGTTTACTTTTGAAGTATAATTTTCGAGATTTTTAAAAAATGAGTCAAGTAATTTCTTCTACATTAATTTTTTATTTTATTGGAAGAATAATTATTTAAAGATTAAAATGTTGAGAGAAAAGAAGAGACAAAATTACAAATCCAAAAATATATATATTAGAAATATACAGACCTGTGACATAGAAAAAAGAGCACAAGTCTAAATAATAATAAAAAATAATTGAAGTAAACATCCAAAATAAAAATTGCAACCGGTGCAAAACTAGTTGGATTTGAAGAAAAATGTTGAAATATTAACTCACAAAATTGTAAACTTTCGTTTATTAAACATCATCCTAAACTAATAAAAAAATCCTCACAATTAGTTTTAGGAGTGTTAAATAATAAAATTCACACGCTAATGGATAAATAAATATATAAAAAATGATACTAAATATTTTAGGAGTGTTAACTCTCACATTTTTAAATGAAAATGACACTCAAATTCTAATAAAAAATTCAATTTTAAACTAAATATTTAAAATTAAAGAGATTAAAATAACAATAAAAATAAAAGAAAATATGTTTGATTTTTCTTTTAAAAAGAATTTTTTATTTTTAAACATAACGTATAGTATAAATTGGATTATATTTATTTTTTAAAAGAAAATCAAATATGTTCTTTGACATTTTTATTTTTATTCTAAAAATTGTGTCTTATTTTAATTCAGTTTTTTTTATATTAATGCAGGAACAGTAAACACAAAAAAATTATTTTTAGTATTTTCTGTACAAATATTTAAAAAAAATGATTTTTCTGAAACTAAACCATCACTAATTAAGCCAGGTTTAGGAAACATACCTTCCCTGCCATTGCAGGAGCTGTAGACATCAACTTTAAGGTTGTCTTGTGCATTCCCATTTCTGAAAGACTCATGGTGCCCGTTACTGCCTTTGTCGTCAACTTTGACTGTTTCCAAGTCCTCGTTTAGATGCTTTCTACCTGCAATCATTACCCCATCAATAATTGCAATTAGTGTTGAGGCTACTTAATCAAGCGAAACCAAAATTAACTCGAAAAGTGTTTAATTACAAATTAAATACGTTATACATACCCTTAAGTGCAGAGGCAGTGTTGAAATTGACATTAGTGCTACTTGGATGAAGAAGAGTTGCAGTTAAAGATAAGACGTAAAGGAGAGGGATAACACGGAACATGAGGAAATAGAGTTTAGATCCGTATGATATGAATTAAAATGGTTAAATTTGTGAGTTAAGAGTTAAGAGTTAAGAGTTAAAGAGAATCATTGTAGTTAGACCATAACTTTAGCAATTAATAATTTAATCAAACAAAAGTAAATCAACCCAAGACTTAAGTGTCGTTCAAAAATTGTAATTTGTAGGAGAGAGAGATTTATAATTTTATTCAATAAAAATTATAAAATAATAAAATCACGTTAAAATTTTGTAAACATAAATGATATTGTTGAAGTTATTTTTAAAATACAATATTATTCACTTAACTACAAAATTTATAAATTTTCGATAATTAAATTCTAAAAACTACATTTAGATAATCATTTAGATGATAAAATAAATCTTTAAACAATAGTATTAATAAGATAATTTATCAACTATTGAGTTAATCTTATGAGTAAATATTATAATATATGAGTATATGATAAAAATTTTGTATATAAATATCTTGTGGAATATAGAATACTTTAAGAAAAATTAAAATTAATTTTTTTAAAATAAGGTTTACCGATTTTAGACTGTGTTTGATAAATTAAGCTAAACGTTGAAAGTTTATGGCTTTTAGATGTGACTGAAAGCTTATAAATATATAAATAGTTTATAAAATTAAAATTATTTAACAAATTAGTTATGTAATTAACTTATTTGTGTTAAATGATTTAAAAAAATATTTAATTTTATATTAACCTAATATAAAATTAATTCCTACTTATTTTATTTATTTACAGTTAATTAATTAAATAATTGCATAGAAAAATAAAATTTTTCTTCATGTATATTTGAATATAAAATATTATAAGTTATATTTTTTTAATATAAAATATATTTGGATAAAAGAAATAAGAGAGTAGATAAAAAATAAAAAAAGAAACATGAATGAGACTTTTGTTAATGTAAAGAGAAAAAAAAAACAAGATTAATGTATGTATATCAATAAATTACAAGTTTCTAAATAAAATACAAGCTATTAGCAAAAAATAAAATAATACAAACTACTTTTACTAAATATAATTATAATAATTAAATTTTAAACTACCATATAATAACTTTTTAACGTGATTAAGTGAAAACATAAAAAAAAATTAAATTTGACACAGAAAAAACTAATTATCAAATAAAAAACACACTCAGTCATTTATCAGTAAAGACAATCTCAATTAATATCATCACAACTAATACAAGAAGTAATTATATTTATTTATTATCTCAAGCTATTTTATTTATTTATATTTTAGATTATCAGAACAATTCTAGCTATGTTCTTTTATGGTGTTGTCCTTACTAATGTTTGGTGGATCCTTGTTGAGAGACTTTGACTAGACCCAACATCTACGCGATAACATGTCAATGGTGAAATTAAAAGGTGCCCTTTGCCCTCAAACTTCTCCCCAGCTGTACAGATTGAAGAAGGAACCTCTCTCTTTACTCTAGCTTTTCTCAAGTCACCTCAGCTTGTTTGTTTACTTTAGACTTTATTAGCAAACGCGTTTACACGGTTACTGAGATAGATAAAATACGTTTTATCAGAGACATTTTAAGGCGTAATTGTTTCTAGTATACAATTTCTTTTTTTTTGAAAAGTCAAAATAATTTTCTATTGTTTAAAACCTTGTGAATCACATTAAATGATTGTGTGTTGTTCTCTATCTTTATTCTTTTTCTTCTATTTGCTTGCAGCACCATAGTCAAAAAATACGAATGCGTGTGTCATACGTGTATATGTGATGATTTTAAAATTATCAGTAGTGCATTGGTGCTTGCCGTATATACAGGAATGATCAGAAAATTGAAGTTCTTGTTAGACATATAAATGTTTCTTAAATTTGACCTTAACTGGTAACAACTTTATATGTGGAAAAAAATAATGCTTCTTTATATGACATTAATGAATCAAAGTGTAATGGTGGTTCTGATAATGGAAATGAGATTTTAATGGATCAATGCAGAAATTCAATTCTCAGACACAAATATTAAAAATTCCACACGGAAAAAAGCTGTTGATCATACTTTGTTGAACTCATAGATGAAACAATACCCAATAAGACACTCCACAGTGAAAAGAAAGAAGTAATGAACTGAAAGAGGAGTTCAAGAATAAGGAGACCCGCCAGAGGGGAATTATTCTTATTATTTGCCAAGTCTTTTTCTCCTCCTCGTGCCATAAATCCTAGTCTTTAATATTCACTTTTCAGCCGTATCTGCCACTTGTCTTTGTTTTGGATTTTTTTTTTTATCACAATTATACACTTTAATTTGGCTTGTTATAATAAAGTTATCCGACACAATTGGTATGTCTTTTGCAATCAATGTAGTAACAGTTAAAGTTTAACACACATGTGAGATCCATTTGGTTTTCAGGAAGTCTGAAAAGTATCAAACAAATATGTTGACTGTTCCATTTTACAATATAACTTGAAAGCTTAGCCCAAAATGCAATAAAATTAATTAGAAGAGGAAGACTCTGTTCCCGTTCTAGTAGGAGAAGAAAGCAAAGGTTTTGGTGGAATTTCCAGGGAATTCATGCTGCCTTCCAACATATCTACCACTCTACTCATTGTAGGCCTGTCATTTGGAAATGTTTGAATGCACCATAAACCCACTATGGTCATTTTCTTTGCAATCTCATTTTCTTCTATGGTCATCACCTCATCTGGTCTTATATCATTGTCCAACTCAAGCCTCTTGTATACCAAATGTGGGAAGAATATCTCACTTGTTTGACTTGCTTCGTCATTAATATTCTTCCTTCCTCCCACCATTTCTAGTAGCATCATTCCATAGCTATAAACATCAGACTTATGTGAAACTCCACCAAAATGTCTATTGCACATTTCTGGAGCTACATATCCCATTGTCCCTCTAGCATCTGACATGGAGATAATGCTCTCTTTCCTTGGACAGAGCTTTGCTAGCCCAAAATCTGATATCTTGGGGCAGAAATTCTCATCCAAAAGAATATTATGTGGTTTTATGTCAAAATGTAAAATTCGAGTTTTGCATCCCCTATGCAAGTACTCCAAACCATGAGCTATTCCTATTGCAATTTGATACAAATTCTCCCAGCTCAAAGATGCAATGGTTTCAGGCCCTTCATTGTAAATGTACTTATCGAGGGAACCGTTTGCCATAAACTCATAGATGAGGGCTTTCTTCTGGTCTTCCAAACAAAATCCAAGAAGGGTGACAACATTAACATGATAGGTTCTACTAATGCTAGCAACCTCATTGATAAAATCTTCGCCATTTCCTTTGGATGATTTCAACAATTTTACAGCCACAGGGTAACCAGTGGGTAGCTTTCCTTTATATACGGCACCAAAACCACCTTGACCCAGTTTATCTTTGAAGTAATTGGTCATTTTCTTGACTTCTGAAAATTTGTATCTTTTCTGTGCTAGAGCTCCATGCTCTTTTAAGAATGCTTCGATATGTAGGTCACTCTTTGTGGTCAACCAAAGTTTGACTTGCAATGATAATGACTTGTGTCTATAACAAGAAATTATGATGCATAACAATATTGCTGTCATGATCCCACTAGCAATACCTGTTAAAACATTATAGTAGTAGAATTGGGAGTTCAGAAACAATTGATAACCTTTATTTTGGAAAGTTAATTTTTATCAGTTTAATGTGTCCGGCAATCTAAGCCTTATAAGAAGTATAGCGTCCAGATTTTTTCTATGAAAGTTAATATTAGGCTTGCTAATTATAAAATCCCTTCTCAACCCCTTCCAAATGCTACGCTGGAAATAGTTGAATGGCAAAACGGTTGAACAAAAAATCATTTTTGTGCTTTCATTCAATAACTTAATTTTTTAAGATAGTTTACGACATGCATTGTATCGGTGTCTAAACCCATATAACCAGTAGTCTGAATATTCCAATCCTTCTTTCACCTTTCGTCTAAAAAATATCAAATTTTATATAAGGTAGAGTGAGTCTGTGCACTATGTGTCCATGCTTCAAGACTTTGCGAGTGTGCTAGGCAAATAGTTATATGCCTTTTGTAGATTCAACAAAAGGACTTGTATTACAATTAAACTACTGTTTCGAAGACCTTATAGACAACCTGTGAAAGCAGTTCACATAAGTTCTTTTGAACATATTTCAACAAGTTTCTTAATATAACTTAATAGAATAAATTGTTGTCATATTATCCTAACAAGTTTCATAGTTAAATTTATGGCATAAGTCATTGCATAAAAATAACTTATTGAATTAGTGCTTAAATTAGTTGTGTATCAGTTGCTCCCAAAGAATACTGTTGTTTATTCTGTCTTGGCCGATTCTAAAGGCTATTTTTCTTTTCCAAAGAACTTCAAAGTTTTTTCCAAATGTGCAAGTCTTATTTTGGATTCGGCAACAAGGGCAGAAGGCACGGTCTAAGATTGTCTATATAATTGTTTTTTCATTGCAGATGGATTACGCATTTGTCATAAAAGTAACTCACGAAATAGTGAAAAAGGAAAGTAAAAGGATAATTGATCTGTTACCTATAGCGATTTTCCATGAACCAACATGGTGGTGATTACCTGCAACAGTAAGAATTGATAGAAATGGGGTGTGGTTAGAGTGATATAAACTTTTTAGGAATATTCTTAGTAATCACTTGAAAATGAAAGGGGAATGACAAATAACACATATATGGGAGCGTTTGTTGTTACTTCTATTTAAGAAATTTTTATGTAAAATACTTTGACTATTAATATGGTTACAAGAGAGATAAAAAAGAACATTTTAGACAAAAATCACTTATATGGAAGTAACAATAGATACTTAGGAGTGACAATAGACACACCCTACATATATGATGACATTATTTCAATTATCAGATCTTTTTTATATTTCACTCTACTATATTATAAAACTTATATTGAGACTAAAGAACTCAATCATGTCTAGGAAATGGAGTTGCCCTTTTATACTTACCAAAGTTGATGTCAGTTATTATTTGGCTTCTCAAAGTATGTTCAGTTATCATTATGAGAACATAATATAATATAAACTGACCTACCTTGTGCTGGTGATGGTGATGGTGGTAAAAATGTTGGTGTTGGTGGTGGTGAAGATGTTGGTAATGGTGATGGTGGAAGAAATGGTGATGATGGTGGTATTGAATGTAATGGCGATGATGATGGTGATAATCGAGGAGTTGATGATGATGGTGATGCTCGATGAGTTGAATGTGATGGCGATGATGATATTGAAGTCGACGCTGAACTTTTGTTACAGCTTCGGTGTCCAGAGTGAGAAATAGAACTGCATGCTGTTTAACATTTTTAGTTCAAAATTATGAAACATGCTGATGTAATTTTTCTTCTACTAACAGATCTTGATGATATATTTACAGAGTACATAAAAAATGAGAGGTGAGATTTAAGGATTTATAGTCTTAACTATTAAATATTACGATAATTGGTATAATAAATTATTAAATGTTACAGATTTTACGTTAATCACTTTATTAGAAATTTAGAACACAGTGCAAGTTTTACGTCTCACACAGTTAACCACTTGTTTAACGTGTAAGACTCAAGGCATTTCATTGAATATTTTTGTTTCGCTTGAATATCAAAAATAGAAAAAAAAATTTGACCTAAGACTCTAAGTTAAACAATTAATAACAATAATATTTCATTAAAAATATTTATTATACTTTTATCATTTTAATATAATAAATATATTTTTAATAAAAATTATTATTTTTAAATATTTAAATTCAACTCATAAGAAACTTTTTCACGCGTAAAATAATTTGTCATACATTTAAGAATGTTAAATATGTGGCTGTTTTTTAGAAGTGAACAATGTTGCATATTTAAATATATGTTACATTATTAATATGCAAAAATACAGATTGTGTTTAAAGTTCAAAAATTAAAATTAATTTTGTATCATTATTATTTTAGAAGTAAGAAAGTCCACTTAAATCGTGCCATATATATATATAGTATGTATATATAATCATAAAATTTCTCCTGGGGTAAAGGAAAATTAATTTTAAGGATATAAAGATCGAACCCTATCTAGGAGTTCTACCCATTAAGCTAAATGGGACTGCTCTTTTTGGTTGGCATTTGCTTTATGTAAGAACTCAAATTAGTGGTCATTAAATTAATAATTAACAGGGGCAAAAATAATTTTAAAAAATTTGAGCATTTTTAAAATGCCCAATAAACCACATAATGTTAGCAATTAATATTTACAAAAAAAAAAAACTATCTGTTAATTTTAATATAAATGAATTAATATAAAATCTCGTACTTATGTAAGATTTTCTGAGAAGTTACTTGGCTTGTCAAAGAAAATAAAATAAATAATTTTGAAGAACCTGATTAAATTAGAATAAGAAGAAGTCATACCAGTAGGTGATTTCCACAGAAGCAGAACTAGAAGATTTAACAGTGTACGCTATTCTCATTCTTTTAACCCTCACCACATTGGCAGAATCACTTCCCAATGAGCTTCTGCTGCTGCTGCTGTTATTGCAATCTGTTTACCAAAATATTTTCATTAACAATGAACTTTTATATATTAAATTTAAATGTTTACTTTTGAAGTATAATTTGTGAGATTTTTAAAAAATGAGTCAAGTAATTTCTTCTACATTAATTTTTTATTTTATTGGAAGAATATTTATTTAAAGATTAAAATGTTGGGAGAAAAGAAGAGACAAAATTACAAATTCAAACATATATATATATAGAAAAGAGGACAAGTCTAAATAATAATAAAAAAGACCTGAAGTAAACATCAAAAATAAAAATGAATTAAAAAAATACAAATTACAGCTGATGCAAAACTAGTTCGATTGGAAGAAAATATTGAAATATTAACTCAAAATTGTAAACTTTCGTTTATCAAACAACTGCGCACTCAAATCATTGGTCAATGAACGCCAATCTATCATTCTAAACTAACAAAAAAATTTCACAATTAGTTTTAAGAGTTTTAAATAATAAAATTCACACGCAAATGGATATATATATATATATATATATATATATATATATATATATATATATATATATATACTAAAAATCTTTTAGACAAACAAATTACTCAAACTTAATTATATTAATCAAGCTTAAATTCACTCTCACATTTTAAAATAAGAATGATACTCAAATTCTAATAAAAAACTCAATTTTAAACTAAATATTTAAAATTAAAGAGATTAAAATAAAAATAAAAGAAAGGATGTTTGACTTCTCTTTTAAAAAGGGTTTTTTATTTTTAAAAATAAAATATAGTACAAATATTTAAAAAATTAATTTTTTTAAATCAAATATGTTCTTTTACGTTTTTTATTTTTATTTTAAAAATTGTGTCTTATTTTTTTTTTAATAATGCAGGAACAGTAAACACAACAAAATTATTTTTCGTATTTTCTGTACAAATATTTAAAAAATAAAATAAAATTTCTGAAACTAAACCATCACTAATTAAAGCCAGATTTAAGAAACATACTTTCCTGCCATTGCAGGAGCTGTAGACATCAACTTTAAGGTTGTCGTGTGCATTCACATTTCTGAAAGACTCATGGTGCCCGTTACTGCCTTTGTCGGCAACTTTTACTGTTTCCAAGTCCTTGTTTAGACGCTTTCTACCTGCAATCATTACCCAATCAATAATTGCAATTGGTTTTGAGGCTACTTAATCAAGCCAAACCAAAATTAACTCGAAAAGTGTTCAATTACAAAGTAAATACGTTATACGTACCCTCAACCGCAGAGCCAGTGTTGAAATTGACATTAGTGCTACTTGGACGAAGAGTTGCAGCTAAAGATAAGAGGTAAAGGAGAGCGATAACACGGAACATGAGGAAATACAGAGTTTGGATCCATACGATGTATGATATGAAATAAAATGGTTAAATTTGTGTGATAAGACTTAAAGAGAATCACGGTAGTTTGACCATAACTTTAGCAATTAATAATTTCATCAAACAAAAGTAAATTACATGTAATTCTTTAAATGGACCGAAGACTTAGTAACCGTCGTTCAAAATTTGTCCTTTTATGGTGCTCTCCTTTCTAGAATTTGGAGTGTGGATCCTTGTTGAGAGATTTTAACTAGACCCATCATCTACGTTATAACATGTCAATGATGAAAATAAAAGGAGCCCTTTGCCCTCAAACTTCTCCTAAGTCACCTCAGCTTGTTTGTTTACTATAGACTTTATTAGCAAATGCGTTAACACGGTTATTGAGATAGATATAAAAACACGTTTTATCGGAGACATTTTAATGCCTGATTGTTTCTAGTATACAAATTGTTTTTTAGAAAAGTCAAAATAATTTTCTATTCTTTAAAACCTTGTGAATCACATTAAATTATTGTGTGTTGTTTTCTATCTTTATTCTTTTTCTTCTATTTGCTTGCAACACCATAGGCAACAAATACGAATGCGTGTCATACGTGTATATGTGATGATTTTTTAATTATCAGTAGTGCATTGGTGCTTGCCGTATATACAGGAATGATCAGAAAATTGAAGTTCTTGTTAGACATTTAAATGTTTCTTAAATTTGAACTTAACTGGTAACAACTTTATATGTGGAAAAAATAATGCTTCTTTATATGACATTAATGAATCAAAGTGTAACGGTGGTTTTGATAATGGCAACTAGATTTTAATGGATCAATGCAGAAATTCAATTCTCAGACACAAATATTAAAAATTCCACACGGAGAAGAGCTGTTGATCATACTTTGTTGAACTCAGAGATGAAACAATACCAATAAGACACTCCACAATGAAAAGAAAGAAGTAATGAACTGAAAGAGGAGTTCAAGAATAAAGAGACCCGCCAGAGGGAAATTGTTCTTATTATTTGCCAAGTCTTTTCCTCCTCCTCGTGCCATAAATCCTAGTCTTTAATATTCACTTTTCAGCCGTATCTGCCACTTGTCTTTGTTTTGGATTTTTTTTATCACAATTATACACTTTAATTTGGCTTGTTATAATAAAGTTATCCGACACAATTGGTATGTCTTTTGCAATCAATGTAGTAACAGTTAAAGTTTAACACACATGTGAGATCCATTTGGTTTTCAGGAAGTCTGAAAAGTATCAAACAAATATGTTGACTGTTCCATTTTACAATATAACTTGAAAGCTTAGCCCAAAATGCAATAAAATTAATTAGAAGAGGAAGACTCTGTTCCCGTTCTAGTAGGAGAAGAAAGCAAAGGTTTTGGTGGAATTTCCAAGGAATTCATGCTGCCTTCCAACATATCTACCACTCTACTCATTGTAGGCCTGTCATTTGGAAATGTTTGAATGCACCATAAACCCACTATGGTCATTTTCTTTGCAATCTCATTTTCTTCTATGGTCATCACCTCATCTGGTCTTATATCATTGTCCAACTCAAGCCTCTTGTATACCAAATGTGGGAAGAATATCTCACTTGTTTGACTTGCTTCAGCATTAATATTCTTCCTCCCTCCCACCATTTCTAGCAGCATCATTCCATAGCTATAAACATCAGACTTATGTGAAACTCCACCAAAATGTCTATTGCACATTTCTGGAGCTACATATCCCATTGTCCCTCTAGCATCTGACATGGAGATAATGCTCTCTTTCCTTGGACAGAGCTTTGCTAGCCCAAAATCTGATATTTTGGGGCAGAAATTCTCATCCAAAAGAATATTATGTGGTTTTATGTCAAAATGTAAAATTCGAGTTTTGCATCCCCTATGCAAGTACTCCAAACCATGAGCTATTCCTATTGCAATTTGATACAACTTCTCCCAGCTCAAAGATGCAATGGTTTCAGGCCTTTTATTGTAAATGTACTTATCAAGGGAACCATTGGCCATAAACTCATAGATGAGAGCTTTCTTCTGGGCTTCCAAACAAAATCCAAGAAGGGTGACAACATTAACATGAGAAGTCCTACTAATGCTAGCAACCTCATTGATAAATTCTTCACCATTTCCTTTGGATGATTTCAACAATTTTACAGCCACAGGGTAACCAGTGGGTAGCTTTCCTTTATATACGGCACCAAAACCACCTTGACCCAGTTTATCTCTGAAGGAATTGGTCATTTTCTTTACTTCTGAAAGTTTGTATCTTTTCTGTGCTAGAGCTCCATGCTCTTTTAAGAATGCTTCAATATGTAGATCACTCTTTGTGGTCAAACAAAATTTCACTTGCAATGCTATTGACTTGTATCTAAAATAAATTATAATGCATATCAATATTGCTGTCATGATCCCACTTGCAATGCCTGTTAAAACAATATAATAGAAGAATTGGGAGTTAACAAACAATAGATATCCTTTTATTTTAGAAAGTTAATTTTTATTAGTTTAATATGTGCCCGGCAATTTAAGCCTAAATAATAAGAGGTATAGCGTTCTGATTTTCGTATGAAAGTTAATGCTAGGCTTTTCCAATGATAAAATCTCTTCTCAACCCCTACCAAATGCTATGCTGGAAATAGTTGAATGGCAAAACTGTTGAACATAAAATCATTTTTATGTGCTTTCATTCAATAACTTAATTTTTAAAGATAGTTTATGACATGCATGGTATCGGTGTCTAAACCCATATAACCAATAGTCTTAAAAATTTCAATCTTTGTTTTCCCTTTCTTCTAAAAAAAATGTCAAATTTTATAATAAGGTAGTGTTAGTCAGTGCATTATATGTCCATGCTTCAAGCACAAAAGGTTTCTTTGCGAGTGTACTAGACAAATAATTCATATGCTTTTTCTAGGTTCAACAAAAGGACTTCATTACAATCAAACTATTGATCTTTAATAACAAGGACCTGTTTGGAAGAGCTCTCAATAAGGTTCTAATTATAACTTATTAAAATAAGTTGTTTTCAGCTTATCTTTCGTGATTAAATTTATGGCGTAAGTCACGTTTACAAATAACTTATTAAATAAGAACTTAAATTAGCTTTGTATCAGTTCAACAAAGAATACAGTTGATAATTCTGACTTGGCCGATTCTAGAGGCTAGTTTTATATTTCAAAGAACATCAAAGTTATTTCCAAATGTACAATTTTTATTTTGGATTCATCAACAAAGGCAGAAGACATGGTCTAAGATTGCCTATATTATTGTTCTTTCATTGCAGATGGATTACGCATTTGTCATAAAAGTAACTCATGAAATAGTGAAACAGGAAATCTAAAAGGATAATAGATCTATTACCTATAACGATTTTCCTTGAAACAGCATGGTGATTACCTGCAACAGTATGTACTGATAGAAATGAGGAGTGGAAAGAGTGATATAAATATTTTAGAAAGATCATTTAGATAGCAAGAAAACAACCTATGACGGTGGTGGTATTGAAAATAAAATGGGGAATGACAAATAACGCATACATGGCAGTATTTATTGTCACTTTATTTAAGAAATTTCTATGTACTTTGACTATTAATATGGTTATAAGAGAGAAAAAAGAAAACATTTTAAACAAAGATTATTTATATGGAAGTGACAATAGATACTTTGCACTGAGTGACAGAATACACACTCCAGATATGATGGCATTATTTCAATTATGATATATTTTTCCATAATTCACTCTCCTATGTAATAAAACTTCTACTGGGACTAAATAACTCAATCAAAGGGTTTTAACCACAGATCAAATACCATGTCTAGGAAATGGAGTTGCTCTTTTACTTACCAAAGTTGATTTTATTTATTATTTGGCTTCTGAAAGTATGTCCAATGTTATCATTATGAGAACATAATATAAACTGACCTGATACTGGTGCTGGTGTTGGTGTTGGTGGTAAAAATGCTGGGGCTGGTGTTGATATTAATGGTGGTGATAGTGATGGCGATGGCGATGGTGGAAGTAGTAGTGACGGTAGCAGTGATGGTGGTGGTATTGAATGTCTTAACTTAAATGATGGCGGCGGCGGCGGCGGCGATAATGATGGTGACAATCGAGGTGACGCGGTTGAATCTCCTTAACAAACTACTAGTGCTGTAGTTTGAAGAGCCAGCGCCACCAGATCCGGAGCCAGCGCCACCGGATCCGCAGTCTGTTAAACATTTTTTTTATCAAAATTATGAATACACGTTGATGTAATTTTTTCCTCTGCAAACAATTTTTGAAAATATATTTACAGAATACATAACAAATGAGAGGTGAGATTTAAGGATTTATAACCTTTAACTATTAAATACTACCATAACTGGTATAACAAAATTTGGCTTGAACATATTTTTTTAATAAAAATTTATTAATTTTAAATGTTTAAATTCAACTCAAAGAGTTAAAAGCTAACAAAACTTCACAATTTTAATAATAATAAAACTTTGTACACGTAAGAATTCTCAGAGATTATTTGGCTTGTCAAAGAAAACAAAAATAAAATAAATAAAATAATCATTTTGAAGAACCTAATCTAAATTAGAAAATGAAGAACTCATACCCAGCTCAAAAGCATTACGAGTCTTTCCCACAACTGTAAACGCTATTCTCCTTCTTTTAACCCTCGCCACGTTACCGGAATCACTTCCCGGTGAGCTTGTGCCGCTGCAACCTATGAATTTTTATATATTAAATTTAAACATTTACTTTTGAGAGTATAATTTCTAAAATTTTTAAAAATGAGTCAAGTAATTTCTTCCGCATTAAATTTTTATATTTTTATTTATTGTGAGAATAATTATTTAAAGATTAAAATGTTGGGAGAAAAAAGGAGACAAAATTACAAATCTATATATATAAAAAAAATTCAAAAACAAAAAGAGCACGGGCCCAAATAATGATAATAAAAAATTATTTATTAACAAATTTTGTTTTTATTTTCTTCTTAAACAGTTTTTAAATAATTTTTAAAATTTAAAAAAAAATAGAATCACAAAACTATAAATTTTCGTTTAACACAACTATCCATTCAAATTACTTATATATAATTCACACGCTCTCTCTTGCACTCTTAAATCAGGATCATACTCAAATTCTAATAAAAAAAAAAACTCAATTTTAAACCAAATATTTAAAATTAAAGAAATTAAAATAACAGCCAAAACAGAGACAAGGAAATAAAAGCAAAAGAGTCTATTTGGTTAGAGAATGTTCTCTATTTTTATTTTAAAAATTGTCATCTTAATTTTATTGTTTTTTTTTTTATAGTAGTACAGGAACAGTAAACACAAAAATTATTTTTAGTATTTTCTGTACAAATATTTTTAAAAAGTAAAATAAACTTTCTGAAACTAAACCACCACTAATTAAGCCAAATTTAACAGACATACTTTCCCTGCCATTACAGGAGCTGTAGACATAAACTTTAAGGTTGTCTTGAGCATTCACTACACTTTTGAAAGACTCATGTACTGTTTCCAAGTCCTTGTTTAGGTGCTTTCTACCTGCAATCACTACTTAATCAAGCAAAACCAAAATTAATTAAGGAAAAATTAAACCTCGAATATATATACTTACCCTTAAGCACAGATCCAGTGTTGAAATTGACACTGATTGGACGAAGAAGAGATGCAGTCAAAGACAAGAGGTAAAGGAGAGGGATAAACATTAGCAAAGATAATGACTTTGTATGATATGGAATAAAATGATTAATCATACATCAACCCAAGACTTTAATAAGGGTATGTCTTTATCTGTTCAAAAGTTAAAAGATTCATAAATGTAATTGATATATGTTAATCTCATTTTTAAAATAAGATTTCATTCCCTCTTCGTTAAAAGTATATTTTTTTACTTATTTGGATGGTCAATTTTACGGCCATTCTAATATTATGTGATTTAAAAAAAATTATATATTTTTTAAACATTTAATCAACATTTTTCTAAAAGAACTAATTATATTTATTTATTTATTTCATGGGTTATCAGAACAAGTCTAGCCAGAGTCTTCCCATGGTCCCTCCTACCTGTATTTAACTTTTCTCAACTGTAAAAATTAAAAAAGAACGGCGTTTACACGATTATTGAGATTGAAAAAATCACGTTTTATCGGAAAATATTTTAGGGCCTAATTGTTTTTAGTATACAAATTGATTTTTGAAAAAACCAAAATAATTTTCTATCATTTACATACTTCGTGCATGATATATATTTTTAGATGTTAATTTCAAAAACTCTTTTGGCTGAACGTAAAAATAAACAGCACTTATTTAACAATATAATATAACATATAAATTTAAATCTCTTTCTTTACAATACAAAATCAATAAAACATTAAATATTTTTTAAAATAATACACGCTTAATATTTAATTACTTTACACTTTCTCTTGAGTTTTTCCACTTCTTCATTGATACCGTTGGTGCCAATATTTACTGTATAGTTTTATGAATTGTCTTTTTTTATTACAGTGAAAACTAGATTTTCAGATTTTTTTAGTTTGAATGAAAATTTTAATTGGAAAACAAATTTTTAATTGAAAAAATATTGTAAAAGCTTTTAATGGGTGTAACTTGAAATAGATTGATTTAAAAATTACAATTAGAGGGTCTAGCAAGAACATAAAGAAATTAATTTCAAGTGGTGGAAGATTCTTGTATTGATCTAGTGGGTGAAGAAACAAAAGGTTTTGGGGGAATATTATTCAAAAGAATTCTTGCAAGTACTTCCAAGCATAAGTTCCAAACAAAATCTTTGTGTGGCAACATCAAATGTGAGAGGTGCTGGAGCCTAAGTTCCAAGTCCAACACAATAAATTGACTAGCCAAAGAAATTAACACTAAAGGAAGAGTCACTCTCGAAAGTACCATCGACTTTACTTGATGGAAAAATGAAACCATATTGATTTGTATGTGTAAATTTTGTGCAAGTTTCGTTAGCATTTTCTTTTGAGTTTTCCAAATTAAAAAGCATTCTTTATAAGAAAAAGTAGTTATGTTTGAGGTACAGATACCGAATTTTCAAGAAATGAAGCTCAAGATAACTCTTTTTTCCAATATGCAAAGTCAACCTACTTTGAAGCATGCATAAAATTTTATCCTTCAAAATAACGACAAGAGTAGCTTAAAATCAATTATTTATCTGAACATATTTTAGAGAAAAAAAGAAAGAAAAGAAAACCAGCTAAAACATTGATTTTGAATTTTATACAAGTTAACATCAGAAATTCTAAAATATGTAGCCATTGCATTCAATATCTATTCCACTATCAATATGTAGTTCAATCCTATCTTTTCATTGTCTTGAAATCTCTATCTTTCATAATAATTTTAAAAGAAAACATACATGTAAATATGTAATTTTTTTTTTTAAAAGAACAAGCTCAAATAATCTATCTCACTTATCTTATTTCTCAACGTATGCATGCATAGAATTTACTCCACGAATTGGTCTGGCTTTTGCATTCAATGTGATAATACTTGAAAAATATATAAGAGATCCACTTGCCTTATGTTGAGCGATCCTTTTTACAGCAAATGAAATTGATTTCAAGAAGTAGATGATTCTGGTATTGAACGAGTAGGAGAAGAAAGCAAAGGTTTTGGTGGCATTTCTAAGGAATTCATGCTTCCTCTCAACATATCTATGACTCTACTCATTGGAGGTCTATCTTTGGGCAATGTTTGAACGCACCACAAGCCCACTATGGTCATTATCTTTGTAATCTCATTTTCATATGTAGTCATATTCACCTCATGATCAGGTCTCAAATTGTTGCCCAGTTCAAGCCTGCTGTATACCCAATGTGGGAAGTATATCTCACTTGTGTGACTTGCTTCAGCATTAATGTTCTTCCTCCCTCCCACCATTTCTAGAAGCATCATTCCATAGCTATAGACATCAGATTTATGTGAAACCCCTCCAAAATGTCTATTCCATACTTCTGGAGCTACATATCCTATAGTCCCTCTAGCATCTGACATGGAAATAATGCTCTCTTTCCTAGGACAAAGCTTTGCTAGTCCAAAATCAGATATCTTGGGGCAAAAATTCTCATCCAAAAGAATGTTGTGTGGTTTTATGTCAAAATGTAAAATTCTAGTGTTGCATCCCCTATGCAAGTACTCTAACCCTCTAGCTATCCCTATTGCAATTTTATACAAAGTCTCCAAGTTCAATGATGAAGTGGTTTTAGGTCCCTTTTTGTATATGAACTTTTCTAGGGAACCATTGCACATAAACTCATATACAAGGGCTTTCTTGCGGCCTTCCAAACAATATCCAATAAGGGTGACAACATTCACATGAGAGGTTCTACTGATGCTAGCAACCTCATTCATAAAATCTTCATTGTTTCCTTTGGATGCATTCAATAACTTCACTGCCACAAGACTACCACTGGGTAGCATTCCTTTGTACACAGCACCAAAACCACCTTGTCCTAGTTTAATTTTGAAGGATTCGGTCATTTTCTTGATATCTGAAAACTTGTATCTTTTCAGAGTTAAGGTTCCGTGAATTTTTAAGAAAATTGCTTCAGTATCTTGGTTACTTTTGGTCAACAACCAAAATTTTCCAGACCATGTCGATAACTTGCTTCTAGAACAAAACATTGCAATGCATATCAGACATCCAGCAATTGTTCCTCCAACACCTATTAATAGACATTGTCAATGAAACCATTAATATATAGCAACTATTGCAGTCTTAGGATTAAGAATTAATCTTGTTTTGAATTGTGCTGGTGATGTTGAATGCTAGTGTTTTATTTTAGATTGCCTAATTTTCATATTTGGAATTTATTCTCATATTGCACGAAACAGTTAAAGAGATACATATAGTTAGAATTTTACCTATAATGACTTTCTTTTGCAAGTTCCAATGATTACCTGTAACAACAGTAGTATTCGCATAAAGAAGAGTATGTTGAAGTACTGGTGACTCAGTCTTGTTAGAAGTGTTTTAAAATTCAAAAAAGAATATTCTACTTGATTCAAAGACTAATACCAAACATGCAGGCATGATCACAATTCAGTATATATATATTAAATATAATGGCACGTTTAAAGGTAAATATTGGATTTAAAGAAACTCCAAAATTGACTATGGACTTTACAGTGAACCATAAGTATACACATTAGACTTGGAAAAAGTGTGGTACCTTTGGCTTTTTTTAAACCCAGGACATCAAACATATATGACATGAAACAAAAGTTTTGTTTTATATCTTTGATTGAATGTCCGAGAGATTATTATGCAACTTGGCGTGAGAAATTTGAGTCATCTTATTTCATCTAATTATGACCACTTAAATAGTATAATTATATGCTTTATTATATTTATTTATATCTTTTTCTCCTACCTATACCACATCAAAACTTAATTGCGTAAGAAAATATTCTAGGATAGTACCGTGAGTAATTTATTGTTATGGAATATATCTTCATTCTTTATTATAATTTTGTATACAAAATAAGATATCGTTGTGGTACAAACCACTTAATTTATAAACAATTCTTTTTTTTTTTATATTAACTCTGTCTTACATCTAATTTTCATATTCTCTTTTTTATCTTTCTATTCCTTTTTTTTTTCTCTTTACTATAATTTTTCATTTATAAAACAGAGGATCTCTACATAATTGATGGAGGGAATGACACGATTGAGAATTAAAGCGTAGATTTTGGAGAGGGGGAACGTTCAACTTTCGTGGAAGAGACTTAGAAGAAAGGAGTAAGAACCTAAGAGGAGGGGATTTCGAAAGGAAAGAGAAGTGCGACTTTATAAAAATCATCATGTGATAGAATTGTGACTTTATAAAAATCATCATGTGATAGAATTGTGACTTTCTCACCCAATATCATATTTGCATTGTAACTCAACAAAAATTATCGATTCAAGTTCATAAAACATAATATAATCTTACATCATACCTCTCAGCTACAAAAATCAAATTCACATGGGTGGAGCAGAAATTGAATTTGTATGTGGTACAATAGAATATAGATTTTGTTATGGGAACTGGTATGAATGAACAAAGCAAGGCACTAGCTTGAAAATTTGTGTTTGTATCTTTAAATGAAGAAGTTGAATTGTAGATAAGAGATAGAAGAGGGTAAAGGAAAAGCATACTTTTATATTCATCACTGTGACCATTGCAATTCAAAGCATCAGATCCATCCCGGCAATAACAGGTAAATTCATTGCTTCCTTTCCCTCCGCAAGCTCCTTTACTCTCCATGCACTCTATGCATTCTTGAAAGCCAGCATTATATTTCACCTCAAACCCACCAATGAAAGCATCTCTAAGAGCATTAATTCCACTTTTAGGATCAACAGGATGAGGAATGTTGCGTAAAGCCTGCACTTGGATTATACGGTTGCAGGCATTAAGTAGTTGCTCTATATCTTTGTCTGAATCATCCTCATCCACAAAGAAAGCATCTCGATTCTGATAACTATCATATGGACACAGAAAAGAGTGTCCAACACCATCATTGGGAACTCCAGAGGAACAATTCAAGAATATGGTGATGTTCTGTACATTTTCGGTATACTTGAAGAGAGTTGGGTCCAAACTAGTGTTGGCAAAATCCTTAGAACAAATACGCTCTTCGATTTCACCATAAGGAATGTCTTCCCTCCCCATTTTGATGGTGTAGTTGAGTATATTAATGTTGTGCACAAAGAAACTTTGGTTGCCCATCTGAATCGAACTATCCTTATTCTCGTCACATGAGAGCTTGAATGGGCCACCTCGCCCACAATATTGGGGTCTCATGTGACCATCCCAGAAAGGGTATGAGGCGGTCACACCTCCGCACATGTAAGGCCTGCTACAATTACTGTATTTGGTGTCTTCTTCATCACAGTGGTATTGTGCCAAATTTGTTAAGATGAAGAAAAAGATGGTGGCTATGGTTGTGAGGAGTAAGGGTGTGTTACGGATGTGATGATCCATTCTTATGTGCAAGGCCAAGCCAAGCTCTTTTCTTTCACTTGCTACACTGTTTTATATATCATATGCATCACCCATCACCATATAATATAAAGCAATTCCCAATCTCTAATAAGAAGAAGGAATGAAGGAAGGACGTGTTGTGTTGACCGTAGAGAACAAGAAATGCATTGGCATTAATGGCAGGCCATAGTTGATAGGGTTATAGAAAACAAGAGTCACCCACGAAACTACACCTCACTTTCCTACTTCTCTCTGTATGCCATTGACTTGACCAAAAGAATATCGAGTTCAAATTTTCTAAACGACCAAACTGCCACTGAAAATTTGTGAGTTTGGGTGTTTGGATATGATGATCCATTCGTATGTGCAATTCCCTTCCCTATACATAATGCTACACCTGCATCATTATAGTTTTTTCAGTGTTTTCTCAAAGTGTATTTGGGAAAAGTTTATTTTACTACTTGAAAAGCTTGTTTTAGGAGGAATAGGGCATCTTAAACTCACCGGACTTTTAGAAGCAGTTCTAGGAAAATGATGGCCACTGTTCCTACCACCGTGACCTTGTAAATAAAATAAATATTTTAAGAGGAAAAATAAAGACAAAATAAATTGAATTATTTATTAAATATTAAGATTTAAATGTGTTTTAAATTCATCTACTGAATACAAGGATCAACAAGTAAAAATTGTTCTAATTTAACATTTGATTGAGTTTAAGTTTCAATGATTGTCATGCCTATAGTTTAGAAAAAAAAATTAAATCCTATTTTTTTGTGAATTTTTTTGTTATATATATCATATTTAATTTAAATTTGAAATGTTAATACACTGTATCAAATTAAAGCTATCTTTTTTTTTTATAAAAAAATCTCATTATTATAATTTTAATAAATATTTATTTAATGTTAAATTTTTGAATTTTAACACAATCTACTAATAGAGATGAGAAAAATTATTAAGTTGATTACGTCTTAAATGATATATTTTTTTAATTTAACCATTCAAATATTTTTAATAAAATTTTATCGGATAAAATTTCTGCAATGCAGAAGATCTGTACTCTTATTTGTCTAGTATTTCACCATCTCTTTAAGCCAACCACCAATGAATAAGCTTATACACATTCCACATGCTTTTGACCATGATTGAACAAATTCTTGACACTAACAGTAAGATTTTATTTTAGAAAAATATTTATTACATTTTGTGTCTCTACTTAATGTAAATAAATACATTATTTTTTAATAAAATTTTATTATTACATGTTTAAACTCAACTCTAAATGTTTTTATGAATAAAAGAAAAACAAAATGTTGAATATTAATGATTCATTTTACAATAAAATCATAAGATGTACCCAAAATATGAAAATAAGTTAATTTCAAGAGGTGGAAGATTCCGGTGCTGATCTAGTAGGAGATGAAAACAGAGGTTTTGGTGGCATTTCTAGGGAATTCATGCTACCTTCCAACATGTCAATCACTCTACTCATTGTAGGTCTATCATTTGGAAATGTTTGAATGCACCATAAACCCACTATGGTCATTCTCTTTGCAATCTCATTTTCTTCTATGGTCATCACCTCATCTAGTCTCAAATCATTGCCCAACTCAAGCCTCTTGTATACCAAATGTGGGAAGAATATCTCACTTGTTTGAGTTGCTTCAGCGTTAATATTCTTTCTCCCTCCCACCATTTCTAGCATCATCATTCCATAGCTATAAACATCACACTTGTGTGAAACTCTTGCAAAATGTCTATTCAACACTTCAGGAGCTACATACCCCATTGTTCCTCTAGCATCTGACATGGAAATAATGCTTTCATTTCTAGGGCAAAGCTTTGCTAGCCCAAAATCTGATATCTTGGGGCAGAAATTTTCATCCAAAAGAATGTTATGTGGTTTTATGTCAAAATGTAAAATTCTAGTATTGCATCCTCTATGCAAGTACTCTAGTCCTCTAGCTATACCCATTGCAATTTGATATATAATATCCCAACTCAAAGGTGTAATGATTTCAGGTCCTTTTCTATAAATGAACTTGTCAAGGGAACCATTGGGCATAAATTCATAGATGAGAGCTCTCTTTTGGCCTTCCAAACAGAACCCAAGAAGAGTGACAACATTAACATGAGAAGTTCTACTGATGCTAGCAACCTCATTGATAAATTCTTCACCATTTTTTTTCGATGCATTCAACATCTTTACGGCCACAGGACTACCATTTGGTAACTTTCCTTTGTACACAGCACCAAAACCACCTTGTCCTAGTTTAACTTCAAAGCTGTTGGTCATTTTCTTGACATCTGATAATTTATATCTTTTTAGAGTTAGAGCACCGTGATTTTTAAGGAATGCTTCAATATGTTGGTTACTCTTTGTAGTCAACCCAAAATTTCCTTGCCATGCTGATGACTTGTATCTAAAATAGAAAAATGTGACACATATCAACAATGCTGCAATTCCTGCACCTGTAACACCTGTTAGCAGATAGATACATTGGGAGCATCAGTGACCATTTGATGTACTTTTATTTCCATAGTAATATATGATGGTGAGAGATAATTATGACATTTTCAATGTTATTATTTGTTTAGCGATAGAATCCTTTCTTCGCCTTCACCTAATGACGGATGCCAGCAAAAGATGGAGTGATAAACATAGTTAAAAATGCCAATATTGATGTCATAGTTAAAAATGAGAAGGAAAATGCTAACAGTTTCGGGTACTTATGAAGGAATCAAAGGGGATAAGTTTTTCCTCAAAAAAATATAATTAAGAAAAACTTGTTTGTTTTCTGTTTTTAAAAATAGTTTTTTCTTTTTACAAGTAAAATTAATAAAATAAAATTTATTTGTTAACATAAGTTTTATTTTTATTTTCTTTTTTAAAAATTATTTTAAAATGTAATTTTTAAAAATTAAAACAAAAACAAACAAGTACTGAATCTTCTCATATGAGTTTCAATGCAGTTAAATGTAATTTTTTTAAGAAATTTTTTGTTGCACTTTTGATGTTCTAGGACACTGGTTAACAAGACTTAAATGAGAATTATGTCATGCATTTTTTATTTTAAAGTTCAGCTTTAATTTTAAAGTAAGTAATATATCGAAGTTATTTCCAAGGGGATGATTATCTAAGCTTGCCTATACAATAAGAACGACAATGATTGATTAAGATGAGATGTATTAAAGATATGTCATAGATATTAAAGGAAACAGTGGAGGGGAAATATAGAAGGAAATTAGATTTTACCTATAATGAGTTTCCTCTTCTTGTTCAATTTATTACCTGCAACAGTACATAGTGAGAGCTAATACGAGTTCCTTAGACTGTCAAGAGTATTGGTGAAAATCTTGTTGGAATGTTATTCTGATAAAATACTTTTTATGTACAATCACTTGCCTTCAGAAACGGAATTACAAATATGGCTTCTTGATATTACTTCAAGCACCTTGTTTTTTTTGTTTTTTCTACTTTATAAAATTTATGACAGAGCAAGTATCCGTACCTTTCCTGATAATCTAAAAGAAATTTCAACTTTAGTATTTAATTTCCTCAATGTTCAAATTAGTTTTATAAAAATTGATAGAAGTTAAAATTAAATATATGCTATCAATATGACTAGAGGAGAATGTAATATAAATGACAAGAAGGAAAATTACATACTAGTAACATGATGAGGTTGTTCTGAGGACTTTGACGAAGAGGGACTGGGCGATAACAGTGCCGGTGTTGGTGTTGGTGTTGGCGTTGGCGTTGGCGATGGTGATGGTGCCGGTGCTAATTTATACCACAAATTCCATTATTTAGTATACATAAAATGCATGACATAGAGATGAGTGGTGCATTGATACATATGAATTAGAGAACTTAACCTTAAGAAATTATATTATATATTTCACATAATCTCTCAAAAATAAGCAGTATGTTTCATGTTCCATCACTTAATATCCTGCGTATGCATAAATAGGTTCATATTAGATCATTTTATTTAGAATCTTAGATATGCATGGTTTACGTTCCAAACACTTAAATTCCTCTGACTTTTTTGTAGGCTCGGATCAAGAAACCGGATTGACGCCAATGTTTCTATGTCTTGTCAAAATTAATTATGCACCAAAGTTTCCGTACCTAATACCAACCATTTTCAATAAGGGCTGAATCTGAGTTCATCAAAAGATGTCAGCATTCGCCCAATGGTGGGTTCCACCAATTACAGTTTTTCCAAGCCGCAATTAGCTCATCTAATTTAAAGTAGGGTGGAGTGTAGACTGGTTAATTAATTAACCCCCTTGTTCGGATGATGGAGTAAAGACTGGTGAATTGAAATGAGTTCCTATTTTTACAGGTGAAAAAAGTTAATATCATTCCATCACATGACACTTTTCTTAACAATTTTAAATTTCATGATGTTAATTCTTGTAGATAAATATTATGCTAAAAGTTGTATAGTTTTGTTAATCTCAACCAAGTAATATTTTTTTTTATTAAAAAAGCATTCTTTACACTTTAAAGGCTAAAATTAACAAAAAAAAAAAAAAAACTATAGACAATTCATTCAATAATAAAAATAATTGCCAAAAACATAGTAGAATGTATACTGCCATCACTTTTCTAGTCTTCTACAGATTTCCTAATGACAATTGGGATCAAGCAATTATGTTCCCCTTCAATTATTATTGCTTCCTAATTGCATCAACAATCTAATATTACATCAAACGAATCTCTAAATTAATCTATGTTGTATAGAAAGAGGAGAAAACTACAACTAATTAAAACCAAGACATTGTCAAAGAAAAGATGACATACTGCTACGATTAACACTGTGACCGTTTCACTGCAAATTAGCATCATATCCGTCCGAACAATGACATGAAAATCCATTCTTAGAAGCATCATTCATCCCACAAACACCTTTACTGTCCTTGCAAGTGGTGCACTTCTTATCATCAACAACATTATAGTACACATCAAACCCACGACCAGCAACTTGTCTCAGAGAATCTATTCCACCATCAGACTCCAAAGTAAATTCCCTAAAAATCAGCACGTTGATACGAAGCTCACATGTCTCAAGCTCTGGAAACTTCCGCAACACCTCATCTGTCATTTCCACATAGAACCCAAACTTGGTTCTATCGTTTTTGCACGTAAAGTTGTTCCCACCGAAGGAAAATCCAATGGGACAACCGTAGAATATGGTGATGTTGTGCATGGTTTCGGGGTATTCGAAGATGTTGGAGCTCAAAGACGTGTTTGTTAAGTCCGAGGAACAATCATCATAGGTAATGTCTGTTCTAACCAACCTCATGCTTTCAGATAACGTGTCAATTCTTAGCACTGAGAAATTTTGTGAACCGAATTGGAATGTAGTGTCTTGATTTGCTTCACAGATCAATTTTAACTGCTCGCTGCTGCCACAGTAATTGGGTCGGTTTTGACCCCAAAAAGGATAGAAAATGTTGGATACTTCTCCGCAGCTGTATGGTCTGCTACACACTGAGAATTTGGTCTCTTCTTCTTTGCTGTGCGATTGTGGTAAGAATGTTAAGAAGAAGAAGGAGAATGTGAGGAATAAGGGGGTATCAACATTCATTCTCACGTGCATGATCATGATCGTGGAGATTGTGTTACCTTATCGTATATTATTAATGAAGTAGTATTAGTATGTTTGTACACCATGGACCATGGTGGAAACAAAAGAGGACCCACGCGTAAAGGAAGCAACTTTTGAGTTTCCTCTTGGAATGGCAAACGGAACAAAGAAAATGAAATTGAAAAAAAAACATACGAAACTTAAATACAGTTTCTTAAGAGTTGTTGACGGTGTTTATATATTAATAAAAAATAGAATTTTATTTTGATAATTTGTGATAACATTAATTAAATGTCACATTTTTTAGTTAAATACATTTTTAATTTTAATTTATAAACAATATTAATATTAATTGTATCTATAACAACACGTAAATTTTGTTTTTGGAGAAATATTGGAGAAAAGAATTGATCATGTGTTATTATGATTTTAGATATATCTTTTTACATGTGACATTTTACAACTCTTTATCCTTTTTATAAAACACATTCTAAAAAGTTTTAGTAGTATTTTTATATCGCACTTTATAATTTTTATAAAACATTTATTATATTTTTTATTTGTTCTTAATAAATGTAGTTGGTAGAAATTTAAATTAAAATGAATAAAAATAAATGTTGATAGTGAAGATAAGTTTAATGATATTAAATAAGAGTAATATTATCTTGTTATAATTACTGATAATTCGCTTATAAATTAAACATGCAAAGTTTGACACATGTTATCTGTGCTCTAATTCTTCTTAGGTTTCATTTTTTTTTTTTACTTTGAACAACTGGTCCAAATCTTTTTTTTGTCAACAGTGGGTGGATCGCAAAAGTCGAACGACTTATAAAAGATCTCGGCCCAAGTCCAAAAAGTCAGTTTTCAGCTTTTTCTTATCAGCCCAAATCCGATTGTTGAACTGATAAAATCCGAATACACTTTTGGAGTAGAACAATCCGAAAAACAAAGATAAACTTTGGGCCTTCCAAGTCATACCTGAGTGATCAATTTTACAAAAGGAAAAATATCTTGACAAAAAAAAATAAAGAGAAATTATATTCCATACTGCATTTAGGGCAGTAAAATGGGTGAATGAATGAAAGAAATAAAGAAAAAAGAGATATGATAGATGATGTGATAAAAATCAAAGAGATAAAAAAAAATTAGTTTAAAAGAAATTAAATATTAGAGTTATTGACAAAATTACTATAAAGCTTTACCCAAAAGGCCATGAAAAAATCTCAGGTGGAAGATTCTGGAACTGATCTAGTAGGAGAAGAAAGCATAGGTTTTGGTGGCATTTGAAGGGGATTCATTACTTTCCAACGTATCTATTACTCTACTCATTGTACATCTATCATTTGGAAACGTTTTTTAATGCATCATAAACCCACTAGTCATTCTCATCGATAAATCAGAACTTTCTTGTGGCCTTCCAAACAAAATCCAAGAATTGTGTCTACTAATGCTACCAACCTCATTCATAAATTTTTTTCTCAACATAATTTTACTTTTTGAAAAAAAAAAAAGGAAAATTTTACTTGTCGTGTAGATGACATACATTTACTACACCAAATTATGATGCATATCATCGTGAATCCTTCCCTTACCACACTTGCAATAACTGTTAACGGATATATTAGGAGAAATAAAAAAAATTGAAAAAAAGATGTCTGTTTTGTGCATAGATTTAATAAAAGAAATTGCATAGAAAATTAAAGCAGATAAGGGGATCACATGATCGATATTATGTTACAACACATCACACTGTTTTCTGGTGGGTAAACACTTTGGTAAAAGAGCAACATAGATCTTCTAGGATGAAGGAGACATGCCCATCACTCCCATATCTCATAAAATGAACCTGACGCCTATACACTAAGCTAAGCTTAATTTGATCCCTTCACTAGTTGAACTTGCTAGTATATACAACATAAAGCCAAATTACTTCACTAGTTGAGCATTTTCTTTTTATGTTTTTTTTTGGTGTTTTGCATGTATTAATGCCTATACATACTGTGCATCTGAAGGAACTTTTGGTACACCTAATTCTGTCCTGTGGCCCCATCAATGTTTACAGAGCCAGAACCTGAAGCTGTTATGTCACCATCTGATTGTGAACCTGAGAAACGAAAAGGAAAGCCATTGGCAAATGGTGCTGTGCTATAGGCTTGATTCAGTGACCACTCACAGCATCCCATTTGTGCACTGTTGTTTGCTACATAGCTGGCAGATTTGTCACCATAATATTGGTTTTGATCATATGAGACTACTGATGCTGGTTGAGAGTTTGGAAATTGCTCCACAGTTTGATCACCTGTTATTTTAGTTGAATCCAGGTAAGTCACTTTTGTGTTATTCAAAATTGAATCAACTATTAGTCAAATTATGAAAAAAAAAAAATGAAATTATATGATGTGAGTTTAAAATTGAATAAATTTATTACTATTAACTTATAAATAATTTGGCATAGACATGAAAAAGGGTCTTGATTAATTGAAAATACCTTGGGTTAACAAAGCAATGTTGTCATTCAGCACTGCATCAATTTCGTCCAACATATGCCATCTAGCATATGCTTCTCTCACCAATTTGTCTATATAGGTCTGCAAATGTAAATAATAGCATCCACTAAAATGAATTAGAGGATCAAAATTAAGGGAATAAATTGAATCTTGAGTAGATGGTTCATTGTATGTACCCTATTCATCATATGGCTAAGATCTCTGTTGGAAAATGTCTGTCCATTGATATCAGCTCTAATTAATTTGCATATTGGATCCAGAAAAAGAGTAAATTGTGATCCACGGTATATGTAGATCTTGCTCCCCATGTCACAAGTCATTGCATGCTTGATTGTGCCTTCCCACATTTTGTCTGACATTCCAAGGCCTAAAATCTGGTCACAGAAACATTAAGTAAATAATTAATTTCATATACTTCTTAAATAAGAATTTTAAAAAATTGTGACTAGTAAAGAAACATGATATAAAGATAGATACCCTTCTTAGCTTAGGAGTATCAACAACTGCTAATTTGAGAAATTCTTGCACTGTTTTGATCCCCGCGGAGGACAACTTTCTATGGAAAGCTCCATCTTTCCCAATCTTCTCTAGGCGCCATATATCATCATGAAGCATTGGAGGGTGGTGCTTTTTGTACACTTCAAATGTATAAAAAATTAATAAGAAGAAATAAAATATAGATATTTGCTGCATAATCAATATATGAATAATAAATTCCTCTCAGAACTGGCAAAAATGTTAGATGCAATTAGATATGAAAATTAACTTGCGTTAAATTAATATTAATGCAATATTATTCTCACTAGCTCAAAAATGACCCTCCGAAAAAAGTCCTCGTTAATTAATTAAAAAATTTCCACTAGGCACGTGATTGACCTTGTTTCTTTTAACAATTGACTAGAGATGGATCCACAACCAGCAATTTGAAATTTTTTTTTTTTAAATAAAAAGCATAAATCGGTATAGGTATAGGATATGACAGAAAATAAAAGCAAAGGCTAGCATGCGTCACAATTATTATGGCTTCAATAAACTGGGATATATTAGCCAAGTGGGTTTCTTGATTTCACACTTACAGTTGTAATGGTGGGACCTTGACCTTGAGCAGCTAATACTATTAGTATGCATGCTGGACAAGGCTCTTAGCCGTGTGTTTGACCAACAATCACTTTTCAGCTATCATAAAAGAATGTCCAGACAAAACAGAAGAAAAGAAACAAAAGTGTTGAATTGACTATAACTTTGCGGACCAAAGGATGAAAAGATATACCCCTTCTAGTTGGGAATACAACCTGTTTCCATTACAATGAAGGGTGACATAAGTAAAAGTGGAACAGCAATCAACATAATCTTGAACTATTTCATCCCAATGAATTATTAGATTATTAGTACGTTTTATTATAAATATTTCTTTAATCTGTATGTAGATATACATGCATTAATTGTATGACAGTGATCCTCCTTATATAAATAGTACTTAATTTAATTATCAGTTTTGATATGTTGATCTGCTACCTTGTACAATTTAGCAGCATGAATCGATAGAGTTATCAGATTGTTGTAGTATAAGTTTTGGCTATACGATAATTTTATGTTTATTATTGATAGTCTGACTTTTTGTTAGTCTGTTATGTCATTTTTTTGGCCACGTCTATGAAGATTAAAATATATTGTCATCAAATAGTTCGTCCATTAATCAGGACAAAAGCGATTGAATCAAGAGACTTTTCGTTTAAGAGAAATAGACTCTCCTTTCTGATCAGTAGTTATCAACAACCAATGCGAGTAGAATAAAGGAATGGTAGGATATTGTGGACCAATTATTATTTGTCACACTAGCAACTATTTATGAGTAGTAATTATCAACAAATATCAACTAGACAAATAAATTAAAGTGAAACAACAATACGTCAATGCGTATGTATCAAGCACATATCTAGGTGGAAGAATACAATGTGAGAACGAGAAGAAGATACACTCACATGATAAATTTAAAAAAAAAAGTGATTCAAACTCAAAAAAAAGTTCTTCATCTAATGTTCACATTAATTTTAACAACAACGATATTTAATTAATAGAAGAAGAAAACAATTAAGGAATTGAAGCTGGTTGCAAAAAAGATAGACGGCATTAATTAATAGATAAGTACATAAAAAAGAGTTCTAAATGTAATATTCACACTCATTACATATATGCGATTAATTATATCAATTCATACTGAGTAATTCTTGTATATGCACAATATCTATAAATAGCATCAAAGCTCAACATACACTAATTAATAATTAAAAATTAACAAAATCCTTGCTCAAATTAATGTCTTCAGTTTTTCATTAGTTGAGTTTATAATTAATATTATGTCCATACAAGAACTACTCATTTGTGCAACTTTCACAAAATTCTTTTCGTGCAATGCGTGTTTTTCCCCTTCTTGTGATCATTCATGATTCCAAATAGCAAAAATATATTTCATAATAAAAGAAACGCAAGTCATATTATTGATAATATACTATATATGTTACTATATAATATATGAAGTTGGTAGAACTTACATTCTCCACGATGATCCTTAACAACAAATGCCTCAGTCATGGCTTCACGAATCCGAACACCATGATTACTCCCAGGTGCCACCCTAACTGCAACCCTAAACTTCCTACCCCGAATCCAGCTTGAGTTATCAGTGAACTCAATGTCCCCAATTGGTGCCATTCCATCTCTCATGGTCACACTCAATTCTCCAGCAAGCAATGGTCTCTTCCCAGTTCTCGCCTTCACTATGTGGCTATTGAATTCCTCACTCGTCCAATGCTCATTATCATCACCACCAAGTGGAAAATCACCATCCAAAACCACAATCTCTAGCTTGAGGGCATGTGGGACACTAGTGGAGACCACTTGGCCATTGCTTTTGTCCACAAGAAGTACGTTGATTGGGTTCCCATCAGTGTCAAGAATCCTACTAGCCGTGAAAATAGGGAGGGAAAGCCTTTTGTTGAAGGAGAGTTGCAAGCTTGATGGTTGCTCCATTGCTTCGATTCTCAATGAAGGAGATCTATTATAGGAGGAGAGTGGACAGTATTGTCTCATAACTCTCTCAACCTCTTCACTCACCTAATAATAACAAAATAGAGAAAACAACATCAAATTAATGATTGCTATATATATAACAAGTGCAAGTGGAGACAATTAATTAACCCAAATATATATATATATATATATATATATATATATGTCGAACTCCAAACAGCTAACGTAAAATTTGTATAAACTCATCATACATAATATATAAGCCTTATTGCGAGGTAGATTAATGACTTACAACTCTTTTAAGCAACGGTTCCATGGCTGATAAAAGGTTCTGCACGTTTTTCACCATAACCACTTCACCTATCACTCTGCCAATGGAATAGAAGAATAAGAAGAGAAAATGGTGTGATGCATGAAAAGTAGATGATAATGAAGTTTTGCCAATGGATCAAATCATTCGTGAATAAAGAAAATGGATGCAAGTATAATCAAATAAACCCTAGCTATATGTATATATATTGGTAGAATCTACGTAAATAGTACATACGAAGCAAAAGAAGGTCTATTAGTCTTCATCCGTTTGTCACTTAGCTTATCAGGGTCTTGATCAGAATCATTGAAAAACCTTTTTGCAGCCATTTTTTTGTGAAGAATTAATTTGGGGCTTGAGAATGAAAGGGGTTGGTGTGAGGTAGCACTAATTAAGCAAGAAGATAGAGAGAGGGCGAGCAGGAGAGGTAATTGTACATGCTATGCCATTTATAGCCCAAAATATGTAGGATGTATTATTGAATTGCTTAAAGTAATTATAATAATAAACATAAAAATATGGATGCTTCTAGGAATGTTGGAGGAAATAGCCAAGCAGTTAGCACAAACAACGTTGTGGCCTATGCTGCCGATCACACATGATGTAACGACTTTTGGCGTCAAGAGTCAAGCTAGACGATCCAATGAGCCATCCCAAGTCAACTCATCTCTTCCACTTCTCTAGAAATCTGAAGGGTAAAAGGGTAATTAGAATAACCCAGAAATTTTGGAACTCCTTTCTCTGTGACTTGAATGGTGTATAAAAAAATTAAACCTGGACCACTCAACATCAGATTCGTATCATGTTCAAAATAAAAATGGTCATGATTGATATAAAGATTTCAGGGAAAGTTTACAAGCAATAATTATTACAAGCCATATGTGTTAAATTTTTTGATAAATATATAATAATAGCAATGTTATAATAAGTATGAAAAATACTTTCTTGGAAAAGGTAAAACTTACTTGAATAATCTTTATGTCATGAAAGAATTAACATTTAAATGTCGACTAAAAACTGTTCTGAGTATAAATACAAAAATATTGTTGTGTGGCTGTTTAAAATAACTATTATTAGATAGATTTCACGTCCAAATCTCACTTATGAGGTTTTAACGGATTTTCAACTGCTTGAATCGAATTGGGTCTTATATATAACACTGCTTGAAACTGAAGCACAGAGAATATTTTTGGTTCCTCACTTTGTTAGGGCAATTTGTTTTTATGTCATTTGCTGTCTTGTTATGTTTGTCTTTATGGTTTGAATGCTTAATTGATGTGATTATTACAGTGTTTGGTCAAACTACATGTTTCTAGGAAGGATCAATCGAATGCGTGTTAAGGGTCTTCCGAGCTCATCAAGCTTTTGAAAGTCATGTACGAAAACAAGAAACTCGCTTGTAATTACTAGTAACGAAGCAGTATTTACAAAAGGATTCTAGGTACTGTTTGTTTATTAAGACAAATTTTAACTTTTTTTTTTATATATAGAGTGAAATCTTATATATTCTTAACTTTCTGAAGTGTTTGAACCGTTGCTAGCCTTTCAGGCAAGATCATAAAAACATCTTCTTCTTTCTTTACATTAAAAAAATTATAATAAATGTTAAAATGACCAGTCATGAAAAATGAAAAGAAAAGGGAGTAATATTATACCTCAGAATTTCATCCATATATTTTACCCAAAAACAAAAACAAAAGAATTTCATCCAAACATGCAGGAACGATATATACGCATACTATCACAAGTTGAAATCTAACAATGGTTGAATTTATTCAATTTATATATTCGATCTTCTTCTCTAATAATAAATGCTTGAATCAACCCTTAATTAAGGTGGGTATTTTGGTGGTGACTCTAGCTATATTATTCTCTACCGACGAACCAAAAAGTGATAGGAGTGGATGTTTGCTATACCAAGTACTCAGTATAAACAACGCATAATTTAGTATAATCAATATGTCTATGTCAAGACTGGAAATCCCTTGGTTATCAACACCATAATTCAACCACCAGTTCCACATATGTTTTTTTCTCTTGAGTAATGCTCAACATTCACTTTGCAATATTTAAAATGTTTTTATTATTTAATTATGATAATTGATTAACATCATAATTTATGTATTCGCACTCTAAATTTAACTCATAATTTCAAATGTTTGCAAGAAAGCATAATACCTGTTAAAATAAAATAATACGATAAAGTATTTATTAATTTTATTTTTATATAAAATATTGTAAATTTAGTTTACTTAATAAAAACTTTCAAATTAACTATTTAATAAATGTAGTTATATTTTTAATAAAAAATTAATACCTTTTAATAAAAAAAAGTACATAAAGAAGGAAGTGAGAAATTTGGTAGCTTGTAACCTATTTTAAATGTTCAAGGCAACGTGCTCTGTTGAGCTTGAATTCCTCCCCAAACGAATCCATGTGGAATATGACGCGTTGCCGGCCATTAAAGTTTTCCAAAAACTTACATTTCATAAGAGACAAAATTATGAAATTACATATATTTCTCATTCAAATTTACTCAAAACAAAACAATTTCAATTAATTATTCAATTTCAAAATGTAGCTGTTAGACTTAATAGTAATCACACGCGGTGATAAACACGTTTTCCGTAAGCTTTACTTTTTACTCGATCAACTACGTCTGAAAATATTATTAATTTTAAGGTGAGTTTGAAGGATATATAATAAAAAAATTTAAAATTTGTTAAAAATCATGTTAAATTTTTGGGATTTTAATAAAAATTATTATATTTTTAAAAATATAGATTAGATAAATTGTTAAAAATAATATACGTACAGAGATCGGTTTCGCAGAAAATGCTTATGCAATTGGGTGTGGAAGAATTTCCATTAAGAAGACAATGATCGTGATGTATAACATTTTGTATGTGAAGGAGGAGAAGTGAAGCTTTCAAGCAGTTTCTTTGTAATTTTATAACGAATCTTTGAGATTCCTTGTTTTTTGGTTGTCAAGTCTGGTCCAAAGGACACTGTAAAGTCTGCATTAATCAAAGAAAAATCATATTTATGCAACCAAAATATGCAATAATTCGTGTAAATAAAAGCAAAATTTTAAAAATATATAAAATAAGATAAGTGATATATTAAAAAAATGTAATATAATTTTATTGTGTGAATATGATATCTCTTAAAATATTGAAAAGTTAGTCTAGGAGTTTGGACTGGTATATGCTTGGACTAATTGAATATATATGAAGGTACCTGCATAACGCGGGTTTCGTTCTCTTCAATAATCAAACGAGTCTTAAGCAAAAGTTCATAATGGCTTTGATTGGCATGTGTTGATTTTTCAACTGATTTTCTTGGACATTTGTATTAATTGTTGATTAGAAAAGTGTCGTAAAAAAACTCATGCATCATCAAAATTCAAAAGGGTATCTTTTGAGGTTTGAACTATTTCTAGAAACATATAGTTATTATCAAACTAATCAGTTTAATTATTAATATCGTTCAATTTAAATTAATTTGAGAATGTTAATTTTCAACTATGAAATATAGTTTGTGATATAATATACTATAATATATGATTTAATTAATAAGAACTATATATTTTTGTCGAAATATTATTTTAGTATAAATTACAAAAACTAATTTTTAACTTTAAACTAAATAAGTCCATCGATTTGATTATTAATCTCAAAAACGTCAAATTAATCATGTTTGAGAATAATATAATTTAATGACAGAAACAACAGTACAGCTCAGTTTGACTTGACTGATATTTATTAAAAATTAATGACTCTGTTCAAAACTTTAAATTTTGGTATAATTCAACCAAATTTTGATTAAGTCACGCATTTTAAAAAAAAAAGATTTTTTTAATATTATTCTTTAAACTCAAATCTATTTTGATAAAAGTTTGGTATTTAAATTTTTGCAAATTGTTTAAATAGAATCTTATTTTAATTAAATAAAATAATTAAGTGATGTGTAGGTAATAATTTAATGAGAAACAAGTAAAATACACGTTTAATAAATACTTTTATTTTTTTATATCTTTCTTGATAACGTCATTTTATATTTTGGCTCTTAACTCATATTTTTAGTACATAGAATAGAAAAAATATATTTATCAACCCAATATTTAAATTGATAAAAGAAAAGTTAAAATCATTTAATCTTATTTCGTTATGAAAAAATATAAGAAAGCAAAGAATATTAGAACCAGTTCCATTACAAATTATTGCCCCCACAATTGAAAGAAAATGAGAGAGAGAAGAATATACGTGTTTAAGAGCGGAATCAAGATTTTGATTCAACTAGAGTCAAGACTAAAGTATTATATCATTTAAAAAATACACACAATTTTTTTATTGATAAAATATAATATTATTATAAAAAATAATTGTATAAACTTGATGTGTGTGCGTGTATTTTTTATTAGATTAAGTTAATAAATCTTAAAAATGATTATAGTAGACTCTTATTCAATTAAAAATATCTCTCTCTTTTTTTTTAATATGACCATATATATATCATGAAAGAATTTAAATTTATTTATCAATATGTCTTTATTTTTCTTATTGTATACCATATATACATATAAACACATATCTTCTCATTATTTTACCATGCCAAGTATATATAAAAAAGGAGAAAATATTATCCTTTATATTTTTATTTTTATTTTATCTTTTATCAGTTGAAACAACTTTAAATTGTATTTATTTTTTAATTATTTATTTTCTCTGATTTCTTGTCGTTCTACTTTTTTTCAACTTTTTGTTTCATATTCAAAACAAAAAAACATAGTATATTTGACCGGACGAGTTTATCATTGCCAATAACTACGCATTTCAAGTTTTCAACTTTGAATACCGTAAAACACGTTTTATTTTCTGATAATTAATCCATTGAACACACGTAATCAATCTATGTCAACCTTAAAAACAACTAAAATTAGGGTCAGAGTTTTTGACATTACATACAAATGTGACTCTGAACGTGAATCCTTTGAATTCAGTAGAAAAAAAAGCTAATATTCAAAGGATAAATATATTAAGCACTAATGACTAAGCACAAATATTTCAACTAATATAACAAATTAGTTTTTACAGCTTCAATATTTACGTAGAAATATCATTTTTAATTAAAAATATTATTTCGATGAAAAACAAAAACATGAGTTGATTTTAAAGAGAGAATCTAAATCGCTTGCTTCATACCTGATAAAAATTAAACATGCCTTAAACTTTAAGTCATTTTGTTCTTTTCTTTCACCCGTTAATTTTATGAATATCTTGTGTAGCTATGAGTTGACATTAGCATTATGCACTTTAATTTAATTAAGTTTATGTAAAGTCATATATACTTGCCAAAGTCTTGAAGATTTTGAAGACCCCAATTTGGCTTTGTTTTAAATTAATTTTAATTTATAAGTGGGTTGTTTTGTTCATAACTTACTAGTTCTTGAGGAACAATTTTAAAAAAAGAAGAAGAAGAATACTGAAAGTCAAATTAGGAATATAAGTACAGGGAAAAGTTGAGTCTATTATTTAAATAAGTAGTCTTCCTCCCAGTAAATATGATTCAAAAGTCTCCGTTATATTTGATATATGAATTCTTATATAAGATATAAGGATAATAAAATTCAAACCATTAATTAAAAAAATATTTAGTTAGGTAGTGACAAGATTTTAGTTGTTGAGTTGATTAATATATATCAAGTATTTTAAAATTGTCCATTTAAATATAAATAGTTCAATATTTACTGTGAAAATAAAATTTAAAATAAAGTAGAAAATATTATAATTGGGAAGATGTGACAAGATGTTATTAAATTAATTAACAATTTAATTTAACCCGGATAAAGGTATTTAATTAACAAATACCTTTATCTTGTTTAATTTATTGCAACTTTTTTAATATTATTTAAAATAGCTTCTAAGTTCATAACCTTTTGTTTTCATTTTTATTCCTAATACGCTAATAAAATTCTTCCTTTGTCCTCACTTAATTCAGAAAAAAATCCCCTCTTATTAATTTGTCTTTAATATTTAATTTAATTATTATATTTTTATTTTTGGTTATTTTATTAGACTATTTATATTATCTATTTTGTTTTCTTTTAAATAAAAGCACTTATTCTTTAAACAAAAATTAAAAGCTAAAGAAAATATTATATTATCTCTCTTCAAAAAATAAAATTATTATTATTATTTGGTTGAGAATTATATTGCAAAAAAAAAATCACCAAATTGAGAATGAATAAAATATTAGTGAGGAACGACAATAGAGTTTTTGTGTGTGTGTGAAAAGAATATATTACGTAAGAAATGTTAAAAACAACACTAAACCAAGAGGAAAAAGAAAGGGCTAAATTTTTAGTGTCTCAGAATTTATTATCATATGTAAATGAATATGATATTTAACCAAAAAAGAATATTAAATAAAATACATAATTGAATGTGATCAATCAAAAAGAAGTTAAGAATAGCATTTTTGTGGAAAGAGTAATATATTAAGCTTGTGAAGAAAAACAAATAACGCTAACCAATAGGAAAAATAAGGGGCTAAATTCTTGGAGCCCCATAATTTATTTTATATATAAATGTAAATGAATATGATGTTGAACCCAAAATAATAATAATAATAATAATAAACAATAAATCAAATTAATACGATCAGTCAAAAGGAATGTGCAAAAACAAATCAATTGAATTGCATGATCTTAGGAGCAAATCTAAGCAGTCTATCCAAAGCATGAGGTGTGAATTTCCTTGCAAACAAATGACAAACATTGGTGATATGTCCATTGTACTCACATGAGCTTCCAAACCTTAATTTGTTCAAAAACTCATAAGTAACGTCTGTCCTTATATACTTTGAAGGATGGGGTCCACCCTTTGACCAATCAACCCAAGTCAAAGTCCTATTAGAGTTCCTCTTCCAAAATTTGATACTAACCAATGTGGGCAAATAATGTTCATCACTGTAGCATTGAGGATTGCAGTACTTTTTGAACACTGGGAAATATTGGTGATCAGAGACTATTTGAAGGGCAATGGCACGGTCTATTTGAAACCATTGTGACCCTTTTCTCCATTGGGAGAGTCTAATAATTGGCCTCATTTTGTGGCTGTACCTGCCACGCCCTACTTCATTTGGAAGATCATAGGCTTCCACAAAGATCTTGTTTGAGTTCATTAGATAAGTGTAGATGGTGGAGAAATTGAATAAAGGGATGCAAGATTCTGAAAGTAGAACAAAACGTTGGTTTGAGAAATCAAGGAGTGCATTGGCTAGTAGGCGTCTCTCTGCCTCTATCATACTATTCTCTCCCCACCTTACCTCCTGTATGCCACAAGAAAAAAATAGATTATGAATTTTAGTAACCCTTTTAACTTAAGAAAATGCTATTTTATAAATCAGTTACGAAATAAACTAAAGTATTAATTTTATCATTATTTATAAAAATTAGATAATCTTTTCTTAACTCAAATAGCAAAAGAATGCATTTTTATTTTGCCTTTAGCTAGATTCGATTTTGAATGCGAGAGAAAACGTATGTGAAGAAAGGAATTATGAAAAGTTTGATGGGCTGCAGAAAAGTGAGTTTTGGAAATGGAGAAGAATAAAATTTTCTTGGAAGTGCAAAAGAAGTGGAATCAAAGAAAAGTATGACCAGTTGCTTTGACAGCCCAATTCCAGAAGCAACCAAAAAGAACATTAAAAAAATGGACATTCTATAGATGCAGTGGATCTTATACTCCAGTTTTAGTTCAATTATACAAATTTTATTTTTTATATTTATTTTTCTATATTTTTTCTATCTCTTTCTTCTATTTTTATCGCATAATGAATAATTATATATTTTTAATTCTTTTCTCTCCTCTCACTTTACATTAACAAAATTGAATATCAATAAATATTTTTCCTTCTTATATTTGTTTTAAAAAAACTGTACTGATCACAAAAGCATAAATTGTCTCGTTCTGAATATATGACATCAAAATATAATTATTTTTAAAGGTGTTGGGATTAATCTTTTGCAGCCTTCTAGTTGGTATTCTGATTATTTGTAAAACCTCTTATAAGCAATCCAAAAGTGTAAAAAAGGTCATGAGTTTAAGGCTAGCCGTTCCACAAAATTCATGTGTGCAACTTTCAATGGTAGAAAATTATTCATAGCTAGCAAGGTGGCTACTGGCTCAGGTTCATGCAGACAGGTGTTTCCCAACTTGGCAATTTCCAAAGAAATCGTGTATAATATTTTATAGCAGAAGGACATGCTTAGAGCTTAAAAAAGTCAAGTGCACTAGTAGTTGTCTACCAACAATATTACCAAGATAAAACATATGTGTGGCCTTATATGAATTTATGTTTTATATATGTATCCATGTTGAAACTTAAATATAGAATGTGAAAACATGTTATATTTAAATGCAAGGTTCATGAAATTAATGTAGTAGTGGCGTTGTCATGCACTTATAAGTCATGTTGCATGAAAACTAGAGACACTAGTATTTAACCTCAATCATTATCAACTTCAGCTTCTATGTGTTTCACCAAAAAGAAAAAAGAAAAAAACACGCTAACTTTATTCTTTAAAATTCAATTTAAGTAACTAATAATAATAATAATATGTTATAAAAATATTTTTTATTTATATATTTTCAATGTAATAAGTTTTTTTTTTAATAAATTGTATTACTTTTGGATACTTAAAATTAACTCTAATAATTGATGAGGTTAATAAAATTATTAAAAAGATTCTATGATCAGGGATTGGTAGAAACACATTAATTTGATAAACATTTGACCGTAACACACGCATTAGAGTTTTTTAAAAAATGGATAAATTAGATGAAAGATGTTAATATATAGGGTAGTAACCAAAAAGTCACGCCCCATAAGGTGTAGTGGGATTAGTTTTCTATTATTATTTAAATAGTTTAAAGTTTTAGTGAAAGAAATTAAACATTATAAAAACAGTTTTTCTTAGAAATTAATTTAATCCTTCATATAATAAGGCCAAGCATAAAACCCTCTTGCACTTTTGTTAGGAAAGTTATGTCCACTTCTCCGGGCGAAGATTTTCTGTATTAAAAATTTTTACTGCATTGGATACGGTGAAAAATGTGATTGTCTCTTCAATTAAAATGCTGTTTAATTAAATTTATATAAAACAAATTAAATATTTTAGTGGTTATAATGTCATCCATACATCAACTCACCAGAGAGAATCTCAACACCACCTTAATTAACCTTCCAAGTTGCAAGTAGTTTTATCCTTAATTGAAAGCAACTAGTGTGACAGTAATATTTGAGAGAAAAAATGTACAGTGATGAGCCACTCAAAAGTGGTAAAAGTCATCAATAGAATCCAAAAAGATAAGAAATTGGAAAATTAGTAACGGAAGAAAGTCACTCCATATTGGTTATTGTGCGGCAAAATCAGTTATAGTTCAAGCATTGACTGTACTAGAAGACAACAAAATGCTAAGGTTTATGTATTATGAATTCCATTTATGTACCATTGAAGGGTCAGAAAATGGATTTATTATTTAATTATTGATTATTTTTAAAACTATAATAGATCAAAGATAGCTGGAAAAAACTGGGATTCTATTTTACCTTAGTGAAACGAAAAGGAAAGCTATAAATATAAATTTACATGTCAATCTTGATATTTGATGAAGAAAATATTTCTTCCCTATTTGTTTTAAAATAACCATGTACCCTTTATAATGTCATATTTATAGAAAAAAATATTAAATACTGCTAGTTTAGAAAAAATCACTCTTTCTTATTTCATTTAGTGGAAATATATTAATAAAGTAAAAAAGAACTTAATATATCTTTTTTACCTTTTGAAATAATGAATAAACTGGCATAAATAAATTTAAAAAACTAAAATAAAACTTGTTTTGGAATGGAAAGATGTAGAATGTGTAAACATACCTTGCTGGGGATTCTGCGGCCATGGAACACTGAATTTTGAGGCAAAGTTCCATTGAAAGAAGGATCGGAATGGACATAGACAGAATACAACCCTTCATTTCCTTTGAAGAACATTTCCCAAAGAGGAGCCAACAACACAGGACCTTTTGTCAAGAACAAAAATGCAACCTTTGGGGTCTGTTTGAATGGTAGTTTATGAATCCTAGGAACCATGGAGGCTCTCCACAACAACTCTTCATCACTCATATCATGCATGGCCATGGGAGGCTTCAAGAATTCCCTCAACCCAATTCTTGTGAAGTTTTTGGTTATTATAACCCTTTTCTTATTTATAAGGGAAGAAGAATTAGAAGGTGGTTTTGTTTGGTTATTTGATATCAATGTGATGTTTGATGAGATTGGAGGAGAAGGAGACAAAGGTGGTGATTTGAGGGTATTTGACGGGATGGTGTATTTTTGGAGTTGAAAGTTGAGGGAAAGGTTCCTGACACCAAAAGTGATAGTTATGCCAATGAGTAAACCACAACCAAAGACTAGAATATGAGCAAAGAAGTTGAGAAGGTAGAGTTGAGCACTGAAGAGATTTAGATATGAGGCTGCACTTGTGCCTTGTTGCTTATTATTCTTCATGATGATTAAATGAAAAATTGAAAGAATTGGTATGCAAGAAGGAGACAATATTGTTGATTGGTTCAGTGCTAGTAATCTCTATTGATGTATTGAGTTTTTATATAGTGAGAGACAAAAGAGAGCATCCATGATGCTTGATTCTAGACTAAAAGAGATACCTAAATTGATCCCAAAACAATACCTACCTATATTCTGTATTTTATATGAGTTGGGACTGAAAAAAGTTATATTCTTTTTCAGTTTGATGGCTATGAACTGTACACGCAATGGAGCATTAAAAGAGAGAAAATGCATGTGATTATTTTTGCTGAATAAAAGGAATTGTTATGAAACATGCATTAAAGTCAATCCCTTCTTAAACTTTCTACTTTAATGCTTTTATGTGTATATTCTAAATGAACGTTACAAGTTTAACTTATTCTCAATGTTACAGCGGTTGGGATATACATAGTAATGCATATTCTTAATTTGGAAACATATATAAATTGTGTTGCTCTAAATCTGGTTTAGTTTCCAACAGCATCGAATCATGGTGTTTGTATTTTTTGGTATAAACTAGTTAATTGAAGTTTCTGTAAATCGAATTTCTCTCTTTTAATTTGTTCATTGCTGAGTTGTTTATTTTTATTTGGTAGATCACATTCTTTTTGTTAGACATCATTTTTTCACTATGTATTATATTAGAGTCATGAAGGTTTGTGGAAAATAATCCAAACTAATCAAGAATAAAATTATTTAATTAGGAAATCAAGAAATTGTACCATATTTTTTCTCTATTTGGGTTATATAAATTAGGCATGAAAACTTTATCTTAACTGAAGATAAAGAATTCTCGGATACCTCTTTTAATACAATACAATTAATCTTTTTTTTTTAAAAAAAATATTAATGAGTCGAACTCCATTGGTGGAAACCATAATGGTAATTAAGGCATAATTATAAATCGGTATTTGGTAAGAAAAACAATTACTGAAACTTATAATTTAATATCGTATTATAAAAACTGAAGGCTTAAGCGAATTAAACTAAGAACTTGGAGTATAGGTCGGTAAATTATCATATTTGACTTTTCTTAATTATGTCTAAATAAAATTCTTGTTTAATTAACGATTTTGCGCAAAAGCAGAAAGTTCAATATTCTCTATTGATACCTTTCAACTACTCATTCAAACTCTATATAATCACTAGAACATCATCACATGAGTGATCTACTTTTTTACTATTACTGTGTTGATGATATAAATACTAACTTGAGTATTAAAGTGCTTTTACAAATGCACTATTCCTTTATCATCTTCTACTTCTCATGTATCAATGTAGTAACAACTCCATTTTAAACTTCATTGAGCTCATCACAATAATACTAGATCACGTTTAATTAAGTTATAAGAAAAGATAGATGCTGTTTTAAAATGCTTCTAATTTTAGTTGTGTACACCCAAGAGGCAAGTTTAAATCCACTTAAATATGCAAAATTGTTTTATTTCAATTTAATTACTTAAATCAGCAACTTTGTCATTATTATTTAGAGAACATATTATTCAACCAAGCTACAAAAATGGACTTAAATAACATAAATTGAATAATCTTTATGGTATTCTATGATATGAAAATTGATCATGAGTTAATTAAATTTAAAATGAAATATAAATCAATTTAGTGATGAGGAGGGACTGTTGTATATTAAATATAAGTTATGCTAAATCTTGTATTATCTATAACTTTATATTGTGTTGATCTTATAATTGAATGATAATTATATGTGATTTTTATAATTTGTGTTAATTTTTAAAATTAAACAATTATGAGAATATAATTAAAAATTAATTTTATAAAATGAAAAAATATATATTAATTTAATGTATATTAATGAGATATTAAATAGTTCTAATTTAATTAAAATTTAATAAATATGATCCACACTATAAAAGTTAAAATATAATGGTAAGTTTAATTTCGAAATAAAATTATCTGATGAACATTATTGAACGGTAAAACAAAGAATGTAATATCGGTATTAACTTATCTTCCTTTTTAATGACTCCAAAGTGTTTTGAAATGTTTAAAAATTTATCATGATCTCAATATCTTAAAGTCATTTAAAAAAAGTGTTTTGATAAACATGATTAGGTCTAGCAAAAAAGATTAGTCTTTTAAGTGAGAACGATGATTAAGTAAAATTCTTTAAAATGACGATTTTGAAATTAAAATTTTTCTAAGGCCACGTTTTACCATTTCTACAAAAAACTACTGATACTTTATATATGATATTTATATTGAAATTGAAGGAAAGTAAAAAATTCCTAGTTGAAGAATAAACAGAAGTTAAGCAATTTTGTTCGTGAACCAAACTCAAACAAGGCCCAAAATGATAAAGGTGGACTTGAAAGGTACGTTGAAACTTAAAGACTAGCTTGTGTTGGCCCAGTTATATTAGGATTGAATTTTGAAAAGTTTTACATAATGACAAAATAAAAAAACTTAATGACCCAAAAAAAGGAAAAGTTTTACATAAGTAATAAATCATTTTCTTTGGGTAATTAAGTAAATTACCTAATAAAAACTTTATCACAAGTTAAATATAAATACTCTGATTATTTAATAGGCAACACTAAACTACCAATTCAGACATTTTAAAGCTTACTTGATATAAAGTTTAGCAAGCAGAAAGTTAAATATCAATGAACTGAAAAAGAGAGTTAAAATATCAAGTAAAATATATAAAAATTTTAAAATTAAAAATAAATTTAAAAATATTTTTTATGCATTTTTAATTTTGAAAAAATTGTCTAATGCCAAAACTAAAAATGAAATTAATGTTAAATAAATATTTTAAAAAATATAATTAGTTAATCTTTTAGCAAAGTAACTCTTTTTTTTATATAGAAAAAAAAGAGAGTAAAATCTTATCATCATCCATTAAATTAGAGAAAAAAAAGCATAAAAAATTACAAATATTAAAAAATTAGTTGGGTAAACCATGAATTGCTAAAATAAAATTTTAAAAAAAATATAGATGATATTTATATGAAATGACATATATGACTAAATTAGTGTGACACCAAAATGACTTTAAAGTTTAAATCATAGTAATTCAGAGCCAATCTGTGTCAATATTTAAGGCCAAGCAGCATAGGAGCATTCGGCATGAATTTCCTAACAAAAAGAAAGCACAGAGAAGCAGCATAGGAGCATTCGGCATGAATTTCCTAACAAAAAGAAAGCACAGAGAAGCAGCATTGCAATTTTCACTTTCATTGTAATTGAATCTTATTTGATTCAAAAACTTGAGTGAGATAAAAGACATTCCAAATTTTTCAGGTTGAGGAGCATTGTAATTTTCACTTTCATTGTAATTGAATCTTATTTGATTCAAAAACTTGAGTGAGATAAAAGACATTCCAAATCTTCCAGGTTGAGGACCACTCTTAGACCAATTTACCCAAGTTATGCTCCTATTCAAGTTCTCTTTGACATTTATTAACTAATGTAGGAATATAGTGTTCATCCGTGTAACATGGGGGTTTGCAATTCTCACAAAATATGGGATAAAATTTCTTGTCTGAGACAATCTCAATTACTAGCTTCCTATTAACCTCAAACCATTGAGACCCTTTATATCAATAAGATATAGCTATTGTAGGTGCCATCTTTAGGTTGTATCTGCCATGTCCAATTTTTCTTGGGTCATTATATGAGGCTACAAAACTCTCATTCACACTAAGTATGTAGTTGTTGTTGTTAAGTTGAACAAAGGAATGCAACTGTCAGAGAGTAACACAAATCTTTCATTGTGGAAGTTTAAGAGAGCATTTGCAAATATACGCCTTTCTGCATCAACCATTGAGAATTTTCTCTATTCTACTGGCTGTGATGAGACCATAGTTGGAATAAATAAATAACTATATATGCTTCTTATGGAGCAATTATAAGGTAGAAATACAAGGATTTCAAGTGATAAATCAGTTTCGAATTAAATATAGTTTTGAATTAATTAAGCACAAAGAATGAACTTACCTTACTTAGAATGATTCTTCCATAGAAGACTAATGTGAGTAAGGGAAGAAGAAGAAGAACTCATAGGGAGAGAAAGAATAGCAAAAAAGATATTAGTATTAGGGAGAGAGAAAAAAGGGAGATTTGAGAAAATCTTTTCATTCCTTATTACCCTTATTCAATGGTAAGGCTATACATATAGGATAATAAGCAGTAACCAACTATCAGAAAATAACATTGGATGATAGCCAAAATAGAAAATGACAGAAAATAAAAATGACACTCAACAATTAATCCTATCCCTTCTTGACTTTGTCTTTCTTCTTTTGGACTGGCACCACATAATCCCTCATCCAAATGGGCTGACATTTCTCTCTTTTGGACTTTCCCATGGACTTAAGGTAATTTTAGCATAGTCTACTTCTCCTTCATATTTCTCTACTGCACCACCCTCATCATCTGAGTTCATATCATCCCTTCCCCATAGGACAAACACCTTGTCCTTAAGGTGAAGTTTAGGGAATTCATTCATCAATTCATCAAGATATTCCTAGCTCGAAACCTCTGAAAATAGTCCTTGCCATTGGACTAGAACCTGTTCTCGTGGAGGATTACCATCATTCCTCGCAGCAACCACAGCAAGGGGAAGAATCTTGGGTTTGTTCTCTACAGCAGCAAGGGGTAAAGACAATCTCGTGTTATAACACCTTAATTTATTTTTTTATTAATAATTTCGCAAAATGGGAGTAATAAAAATTTCATTTAATAAAAGATCCTATTACAGAGTTTCATAAAATGGTTCAAAACAATAAAGGATTATAATTTATATCAAAGACTGCTACAGGACTAATTTAGTTACATCATAATTTCAAAATACAATCTAAGTTATATAGTAGTTCATCCTTCCTTCACTGAGTCTGGTGTTGATCGTCTTGGTCACCTGAAAAATAAATGTAAGGGTGAGTACTCAATACTATTCAATTCCCACAAATAACATAGAGTCT